GTTTATAAATAATTTGAAAAAACATCATGCGCATGCGCGTAGGTCTTTAATACTTTAAGGAAACATTTAATTTTAAATTTTTTATTAAAACATTGTAAAACAATTGCGTATTACTTCAAAAAATCAATTTATATGAACTTGAATTTTTCATGTTCAATTAAACGAGTCCATCAGCAAAGATTTTATTATTTATTGCTTTCTTAGACTGATCCCAACCGGATCTAACCAACAAATTGATTTCACTCGTACCATTCCTTTTATTTCGTCCATTTTTTTTTTTGGTTTTAGTTCGATTTCAATTATCAAGACGAGCCGAGCAGCTTCAAATCTCAAATATATTGCAATACCTGCGAAACCGACGAATCCGGTGCAAAGCATTCACAGCATTCGAAACCTGCAATACTTGCAATACTTTTATCTGCAATAAAACGCGTGCGGTAATAAAACGCAATAAAATGCCCTTCGTCTCTTTTACAATTTCAGCACCGTTCGCCCTGAAACGAAATTACGACGTCAAGACTTTCATTCGAAACAAATAAATACCCTAATACTCTAATAATTCCTAATCGCAAATGTATTAAGACTTTTTTGTGTTTTATATTCTTTAAGATGTAAATAACAGTGGTGTACGTGCGATTGTGTGCGTATAAATCGAAAAGAAAAGTTTAAGAAGCGTAAGTGGGTAATAAATCGCCGATTGGACGAGCGACGCGCGCGCCATTCTGTTTTATGGATTTTATAATGGTCACTGGAGGGAATCGATAAAGTTTAATAACATTTCAATGAATAACGACCCACTTCAGAAACAAATTAGAACAATACAATGTAATATTGTTGTTTTGGTTGCCTATAACACAAAAAAAATGGTACGACATGTGTTATATATTAGTGTATAGTTGGTTGCTGTGGTGTTTGACATCTGGCACGTAGTATCAGTTATCGAGCGGTTTTCGTTGCGTTTCGGCAGGTACGTTAATCCCAACTCAACAATAACACACGAACGCGCTGGCCGGAAACTCGGAAAAGTCGACAAATTCACGCAACTGCCGCAAAGTTGCCTAACTCGAGAGAAATCCTCGAGCGCGAGTGAACAAACGAACAAAACGCCACGTTTAGTTTATTTTGGTTTAGTTGCCGTGCTATCAGCAACAGATTCGTCCGCAACACAAATAACGCACGCGTAATCTACAATTCCAACAATACTGCACCAGTTAGTTATGAAACTAGGAAATCCAAAGGGGAATTAATATGAATAAACAACCCTGTTAGATAAATACGCATCCAGAATGTGAAAAATGTTATAGACAACCAAATATACAAATATACATTCAATTCTCGTGAAGTTTTCGTGCCGCTGACGTATGACTTTTCTTATTTTCCAATTCACGTCATCTCCACTCGCGAAATGTCAGCCAAAATGCTTGCGAATAAATCCTTCGCGTGGATGCGCGCGAATAAATCACATCCAGAGATTCCCGGCCATGACGAATCGAATAAAATCTGAATCTCCCACGCGTTTTTATCGCGTCCGTGCACATTTCGCACGTCCATTTCTAAGCGTTATTCGTGTAGTCATGCATATTCGGTTGCCTATGTATAAGTTACACAATCCTATTTTGTGTATTTCAGGGTTTTTTGTTGTGGTTGGCGCTGTTGTCTGTCGAGATGTATATTTTATGAGTTTTTTCATGCTGCCCGGTTGTCGAAAGGGATTGGATATTGATGATGTGCACTACTCGATACACGTGAAAATCGAAATGCAAAACAAATCCAAACGGAAATTGTAGGAAACGCGGCGAGAAATTGATGAGTGCAACGACCTAACCTAGAATAACCAATAGTGCATTGACATATTGATTTTTACCTAACAAAACACATTGTATATATAATATAAAGTTGAGTAATTAACTTAGTAGCTGAGCAATTTGACATTTAATAACATATTTCCAATGAGTGGTGTTTGACTATTTTTCTTCGCGCTGTGTTCCAAGTGTTTACATTCCTTTTTCGGAATTTTCCCCGCGTCGCTTGATTAAATTTTCCCTTCCTCAAGGGGGCGCACACGTCTCCGCCGTGTTGGGCGCGTCGACGTCTGGCTCACTTCCGCCCCCTACCGATGTTTAATTCAATTTACTCGCCAAAGTAATCGCATTGGCACTACCACAACCAACTCTTCGGTAAAGTTCATGTAACTGCATTGGAATTTTGTGTACGTATACATTTTTCTATATTTACGGCTCTGTTCTCTTTTAAGAACACTTTATTTAGTTAATATTTTTAAAAAAAGTTTTTAAAGCGTTGTACACTCAATATTTCATCGCCCACCATGTTTTAAAATCCTTTAGTCTTCATCAAAGTAAATTAGTTGTCCGCAGTAATTAATAATATTCCATATTTCTATTTACATTTACTCTAGGCCACCCAAATAACAAATTTGAATATAAATGGAAATACCTACATCCATTTATTTATTTAATTGAAATATTTATTTATTGTTTTTCGTCGAAATATATTTATTTTATTTATGTGTATATCATTTTTAGTTGAAAGTCGTGGAGTGCACAAATTGTAAATCATTAGTGAAGTTGATTAAAACCCAATCCAAAGCTAACCTCACTCGAGAGCTCTGATGTTCGCAGTGAGTTTATCTCGACGAAAGTAATTTCGAAATAAACGGTCGACAGTTTAATTGAACTCCGTCCTGCTACTACAATTTTTTTTATTTACCTCAACTCGCCCTCCATGTTTTTTTTGCCTGCTATTTTCTATTTTAACTCATATATATGCTACGTGTGCAAAATAACTGCTGCGGGGCACAATTTTGTACGCAATGCGACCGATTTGATTTGGTTTCAGCGCGGCATATTTTTTTAACCTCAATTTGCAATTACAAATGTTTATGATGTCAAAGTTGTGCGTTTTTTTAGTGAAATATTTGACTGCATTGTGTTTTTTTGTTCGTTGTGTTATAAATTATGCTTTTTAAGACAAGTGCTCGAAGCGTATTGCAGTAGACGCGTTAAAAATGAAACACGACGCCGGAGAACACTTCAAGTGGGAATATTCTGCCGCATAACCGGAATTAATTCGCACATGAGCGCACGGAAAGTGCCGCAATAAATATAAGTTATCTTCTTGTTGTTGTGTTGCAAGTTGGTAGTTGGGTTGCATAACTTTTGGATGCGTAGAGTATTTCTAAACGACTTGAAACTAAAATTAATAGAAAAACCTGAGAATATTAAACGTTTTTCAATCAAAGCAGGAAATTGAAATGGGATTAGTAACGTCTGGCGGGTCCGCCATGTTGGAACTTAATTTACACGCTGTGCTGCGTTTGAATATTTAACGGTATAATCTCCGATGATATCGGCGAGCATCGGGGCGTGCTACAGCGCAATGCTGGATGACAATTAAGCGATCACTTGTCGTAATTAACGTCCCAACGGCACGTACCGTCTCAGCGATGACGATTCATGCGATTTGTGCCATTCCATCGAACTGATTTGCATTTCGTAACATCTAGGCAACTTTATGTTCATCTATATTGATGCATAATTCCACATTGGAACATTTGACATTTGTGTAAATATGGTTGCATATGTTAACATTTTATAAATTAAATTATTCAATTTAATAAACTTTTACTTTTAACCTAAACGCAAACTTTTTAATTTAAACATTTTAGTTTGACGAAAAATAAATTTCATTAAACGTTTCAAATTATAAATTATTCAACGCTCACGTTGATTATGTATGGTATAAATGAAAACACAAAAAAGTTGTGTAATAAAAAATGTCATCAAAGTTTTATCTCTGTATTCGCTACAATCCGCGTAATTTTATCTTGGCGTTGAAGCAAGCAACTTTAATTACACGCGCAGTGACGTCGCAATAAAATGTAACCGCTCAAAATGGACGCGAGACAAAAGCAAACTAGCGCACACAAACAAAAGAAAAGTTTACAGTGCTAAATGTATAAATTAAAGTGCAGCGCACAACGGGTTGCATACGTGGGCATTTCAAAGTAATCTAAAACCAAACATATACGTAACTTTACGCGCAAAGTAATTAATTTGTTGTTGTAGGTTATGTTGACTTAACCTACGTCAACATAATCCAGCCGTAATTATTTAATACGTACAGTTAGCAACACAATATTTGATTAATTTCACATAATAATTAGAGCGTATTAAATTCAATTCTGTGAGAGACAGAAATGAGAAAAATTTTATTGTATTTTGGGTTGCCTAGCGTAACGTAATCTAAGCGTATACCGAGTTTGATGAAACTTTATTACCACGAAGGTGACACGGGCAGCGCTTTCGCGTTGTGTAAGGTTTATGTAGATTTGCGTATAATTAATTGTTTTTCGCCCACGTCTCACGTTACGCAGCCACTGCCGCTTGTGCATGGCGAGACCAAGTTCGATTCTAATTAAGCATGACTTAATTTATGAATTAAGGACAAAGACGAGATACATGAGAATTATTGTTTGTAAAATTAATTTTTCTATGTTGGGATTAATTTTAAATTAATGCGCATGCGCAGTAAAAAAGTAGGTGGAGTAAAATTTTAAAAAAATAGACGAAAACACTTTTACTGTTCATTATTCAATTTTTCTATATTAAAATTAATTTTTTAAATAAAATATTCTTTGTAAAGCTACTGCGCATGCGCAGTACAAAAATAGGCGGAGCAAATTTTAAGAAAAATATAGAAATAAATAATACTGGTGTTTATAATAAGAATTTTTTGATTTCAGAGTAACTTTTAGATTGATGACGAATTAAATTATTATTTTAAGTCTGCTGCGCATGCGCAGTACGAAAGTGGGCGGAGCAATTTTGAAAAAATAGAAATAAATACTTTTGCTGTTTATAATTAGATTATTTCTACATTAAAATAATTTTAAATAAACTATTCTTTGTAAAGCTACTGCGCATGCGCAGTAAAGAAGTAGGCGGAGCAAAATTTCAAAAATCTTATAAAATAATACTCACCGTAACTTTTTCTTCAAAAATTCTTCCTGATAATGAATCCAATAAATTCGACGCACAATTATTTAATAAATATTTTAAATTTTTATATTTTAAACAATAGTTATTGTTATCATGTTATTATGATAATATACGTTTGAATATTTAATGCGTATTTAGAATTAAATATTAAAAGTTAGAATTTACGGCGAATAATCTGCCCTCCTGGAAATATGATGCTCGTTCAGGACTTGATCCTAAATGTGACGGTATTGTGTGGGTGTGAGCGTTGATCCGCTTGATGGTTCTTTTGCACTCGTATTCTCGACACTAGTATACTCGTGAGTTATCCTCGGCAGGACGAACGTGACGGCTCGGATGGTGCAGCGATACTGGTACGACGCAGACGGTCTGGCACCTAGGACTGGAACTGGGAACCAACAGGTAGACATGGCTAGTGGCGGCAGCGGCGGCGGCGGCGGCGGCCGGACGGGGCTCCCGGGAGCGTGCGCTCTGCGCAAATGCGCCATCGCCATGTGCCCGACATTTATCCTGCATTCACACACCGAATCCTTTACTTTAAATAATAAAATATTAGTAGTTTAAAATATCTAACCTCAAAATTTTGACATTTGATATTTTTAACCTCAAAAATATTATCTGTTGGCACAGGAGATAAAAAAATACATCCCGAATCGATTTTGTAAGCAAACAAAACGAATGTATTTACTCGTATGTTTGCTCGCGTTTTGCATGATGTTATCGTGTGTAGGCGTAAATATGCATCCTTTCAATTTGCGCGTATTTCACACGAGGCGTGCGGATTCAATCACGCTTTTCTTCAAATTTCACTCGGCGGCGGCGGCGCTAAGCCGACATCATTCGTTCACTTCACACTCTGCATCTCAACATTTACGAATGTATTTTAAAAACGCGCAAATCACAGGAAATAAAATTCGTGTATTTTGGGAAGCCTGCGAATACCCAAGACACTTTAAAAACTCATGGGAATACAAGTACATAAAAGTCTTCGTAAAGTTAATGTTTACAACTTATTTATGAGGCTTGAATAAAATGCTGCGTTTAATAATTCGAATAATTTACAACTGAGATGTCAAATTCCGGATTTAGTAGATATCTCGAATGTCCAGAATCTTTTCGTAGAATGCGGATCGTGCCGGATGGCAAATTCCTCGCGTTTTTTGCTCTTTAGCACTTCGATCACTTTCGTTTCTTCTCTTTATGCTTGGATGTCGTTCACATCTTTGTGTCGCTCGCTGATTGTCACGTTCGATGTGCGCGTTCGGAGCTAGGAATGTGCGCGGTATTTTGCACTTAGAATCTTTTGCATTGTGAATTCTTTCGACCACTTCAAAATCGTCGAGTAAATTGCACTTTCGAGTGTATTTCGAGATTTGCACTTGGAGAAATAAATGTTTTTATTGATTTTATGTGTTTAAGTGTTGAAGTGAATTAAATGTGACGTTGTGAATTGTTGCGGAAATAATTTAGTGATTAAATTAAAGAGTTCAAAGGCAACACGTGTCAAATTATGTTAAATAGCAATTAATTTATGTTTAATCAATAAATGCAATTTATTTATGACTTAATTTGCAGATAATAGATAATTATTTATTCCTTTTTAACGTTTTCTACGTTTTATTACTTTGAATTTATTGGAATTGTGAAATTTTATCGATTTTACAAACAAATAACTTTAATAACACTTTTAAAGCTTCAAAAAAACTTTTAAAAATTCAGGGTTTCTTACAAAGTCAAAAATTATACTTAAAAATCAAAAATTTGGTTAAAAAGCGGAAAAAATTAAGTTTTATCAAAAATTTCTTTGTTTATATACCCAGTATCACGTCACGTCGAGTTAATTTAGTTTTCTTCAAATATTTTTCTAACTAAAATACACATAACAAATCAAAAATTAATAATATCGAATAAATTGATATTTAACGTTCATAAATATTTTTCTATTCGAAAAATATCAAATGAATATGATGAAATAAAATAAAACCAAAATGAAGATATATCTTTTCGCATTTTTCGTGTAGACTTTTCGTGGCTTTAACGCTTGGCCTCTTCCCGAAGCGGAAACCGTGAGAAACTGCGGGGGAAACGCCACAAATTCAATTTTCCAAGCGGCGAATTAATTCGAATAAAATCGAATCGAAGCGACCACCATGCTCATGCTTCCTGTCTTCTCATATTAGGTTTTTTCTCTCTCCCAGGACTTTTCCACGTTTCATATTTTTCAATTTGCGAATTATTTAATAAATATTTATTAACCACATAAAAAACTTATTTGACACACCCTGCAATCTGGAATCTTTCAATATTCTTTACATTCTTATTGCTTAGTTCCTATTTTTATAGTATTTGTTTATAAAATTAATTTTTACACAATATTTTTTTTATTTAATAATAATTATAGAATTATGCGATGGAATATGATCGACTATATATGATCCGTTCAGCATTATCGGCTTGTTCATCTTTGGTTACCGCCACGGCGGCCATTTTATCACATTTGTTTGCATTTGCGTTGGATTTTGAGTTTTTCGTCGTATTTGGCGTTAAGTTTGGATTATCCATTTCAATTTCCACTACTGAATCCAATTCGCTCTGCAAAACAACAATAAATATGAGGAAAACATCTCATAATAGTTTTAATATAGATTTTTCAATAAACACGAATGATAGGCAACCAAATATACAATGCATTCTATAATATTACTAAGAAAAGAAGGTTAATAGCACAGTTTTTACTACTTTCTGCACTTGATGCACAATGTATACCATTTTGTTTACGTAGTTTGGTCCAATGTTTGTTTTTCGACTTTCAAGATGCGAAATGATCCAGTGTATCTAGGTTGGTACTAAGGTGCGCGTGAGTGTAAACACAAATAAATTAGTTAATGCCGAAGTGAGTTTGAAACGCTCTAAAATAGCATCGCGCCACATCGGCACATCGCACATTCCCGCTTGGGTTTAACCTAATTAACTACCCACACAACGCATGAAATGTGCGCCCAAAGCGCGCAAAAAAATTCCACGAGTAATTGCATTTCGGTGTTTATTTCATGTAATTAACGATATTTTTGGCAGGTTTGAAAAACATCAAAACCCAATTATAAACAAAAATGAACTTCAAACCGCAGTAAATGGACGAGAAATGTTTATTTTCAGGTTAAAACACTTTTAAGTTTTCTTTTTTATGTTTTAAGGGTTTCTAACTTTTTTAGTAAAAAAAAAAATATAAAAATTTAATTTTAAACTCGAAAACAAAATAAATAACAAACCGGTAATAATTATTTTTTTGGTTATATAGACATTAGAATAGGTTATATTTACCTTGGATGACGCAGCCGCAGCAGCAAGTAAAGCTTTTCTTTGATTGGCGGACGCATTCAATATCCACAGGATGTATACGAACATAATCAGTGCAGGAGCGAATAAAGCAGCATACTGTGGGGTGCCTCGCACCACTGCTTGATACAATCCCAATAATGACAAGAAAATGGCGGTTCCTACCGCAATATATCTTCCAGTTCTTTGGTTTTCTTCCTAAAACAGCAAAAATAGAAAAATCAAACTGACAAATTGTTCTTTTGGTTGCCTACGTACTCTTAATGAACTTATACTAGTATCCTCACACTCCTTCACAAGATTTTCTTTTTGCAGGTCAATTTCCACCATTTTATTAAACTTTTCAAACCCTTTTTATTGTCTGTTTATAAATGTATCAAACTAGGCACTTTATTAACTAAATATGCTAAAACTTCAAGTTTTAATAAAACTTTTCTTGCTTAATGAGTTTTTGAGAGAACATCTAACTGCACATGAACTTAAAGCTTAACTGATGCTTGAATGCGCCGAGATGAAGTCGTAAACTCACAAAATCAGCAAAAGCTGCAAAGGTATACAACGTACACCGTGCGCACGTCGGTAGCACGTCATATTATTAGACTATTTACACGAACTCGAACTCAAAATGCTCAAAATTACTGCCTAGAGTTTAAAACTCATGACGCATCTAAATTTTACGAATTGTCTGTTTCACTACGTCATATACTGTAAACAAACAAAAAAGTGAATGCAGTTTGAGTTTTAAAATATTTTTGATATTTTTCTTCTGAATTTTGACGAATTGATTAATTTTTGGCGCCAAAAATTAAACATAAATCCCGAATTAAACATGTGTTTGGAAAAGGTACATATGGGATGCACATTTCGTGAATTAAGCAGCAGTGCATTCTCATTGAACATTATTTTGACCCGAAATCGACGAACAATTGTTTATTTTCTCCGCGCATCCTATTGGAATCTGCTGCGCGCTGTTAAACCAGCAAACGCCGCTGTTTTCTTCGCCATAAACTCGATCGTAACTTATCCTTCGTGACGGCTTTGACGTTTTGTGTACGTTGGCATAAAATATTTCCATACCGCAACACGCCACCACCAAATTATTCACCGTCTTGTAAATATCCATCGATAAAATTCGATCGGGAGCCAAAATCGCACCTGAGTGTTGATTAAATTTTATAATTTATGAGTTGATTGATTACATTACCATGTTTACGTGTAAAATGTAGATTGCTGGAGTTTCCACGAATTAGAAAATATGTTCTTTGTTTTAATTTGCTTTTGTTAAACATTTGGAATTTAATATTTTAAAACTACAGTTTATGCTCAAGTTTTTATAATATTTTTCTAGCCTCTTACAAATACAAAAATGTTTATTTAATTGTTGGAAACATTCTGTATATTAAGTTTTAAAATGTAATTCTATACTTTTTAAATGTTTATTCCTACTACTTTCAAATTATTCTGGCGGGAATATCAGGTAACAACATTTAACCCTCAAACTTGCAACGAGTTCTAACATAAACAACACAATTATTTTCACTAAAATTATTAAAATGAGCTCCAGAACAACACGCAAACGAAAAATACAAATACCTACAACTGATACATTGCCTGATAAACCAAATAAAATAGATAAATCTCTGCCTGAGACAATTTATCCTGAAGAGACCAGAGTAAGTAAAGACTTCTTCGACAAATCAAGTTATGACCTTGCCAGAGCACTCCTTGGTAAAATATTGGTTCACAAAGTTGATGGAGAACTTGTGAAGTGTATTATTATTGAAACAGAATTATATCCTGGAGGTGATGACAAAGCTTCTGTTTCCTACAATAATAGGTATGTATTATTTTGTTAGTTAATGTAAATTATAATTTACTTTATTAATAATTTGCTTCTTCTAGACGTACAGCTGCAAATGAACCAGTATATGGTCCACCAGGCACCACTTGGGTGTATCTTACATATGGAATGCATCATTGCATCAACATTTCGAGTGCAGATCATGGTGGCGCTGTACTTTTAAGAGCTGGAGAACCACTTGATGGGCTTGATAAATTAATGGAACTCAGAATAAGTGAGTGAATATTATTTTATTACACCTTATGAGTATTGTACCTGGTTGTTTTTAGAAAATATGAAGATGAGCAGAGATCTGAAAATTAAGGATTTGTGTAATGGCCCAGCAAAGTTGTGCAAAGCAATGGGCATTGACAAAAAAACTTGCAATGGATTAAATGTTGCAGATAGTAATAAATTATGGATTGAAGAATATGCAAATGAAGGAGATATTGAAAGAATTATTAGTGCGAAACGCGTGGGAATTGATAGAAGTGGTGATGTTGCAGTTAACCAACTCTGGCGATTTTATTACTACAATCATCCTTGTGGCACAAGAAGAGAACCTGAACGCGAAGAACAATAAATTTATTTTATACTACAATATTACTATACTATATACCATACAATAAAATTATTATCTTTGTTACTCTTAATGTTACTTTATGTCAATAAACTATTATGAAGTTTACTAACTATGTATTATTTTAAGTACTTTTAAGTACATTTGAACCTGAACATCGCTTTCGTTTACCTCTGTTAATTTCTATATATAATGCGTATGCACTACATAAGCAAAAAATAAAATTTATAAATTTTACTTTTTTATAGCAGAATATGAAAGAATATGTGATACAGAATACTTTATCTTAATAAAATTTTGTTCTACGATGTACCGTTTTCCTAATAATCTCCATAATTCCATTTGTTTGTGTGCGAAGTCAAATTTTTCTTGAAAAATGCCAATAGGGCCTAAACGGTCAGTGTTAGAGGAAAATTGACTGATTATAATTTATGTAGAATTTAACTAGCTATCTAAATCTGTAATCAAAATTTGAAAATTCCCATTTTTAATTGTTGATAAAAAAATGAAAAAGTTTTGCCATTTTTATGACGAAATCTTTTCACGGTTTATTCACTGTTTATGTTTTTTATGACATAAATTAAAAAATTGAGTTTTGAAATATTTTTTTCTGGATTCTGATAAAACAGAACATTTTAAATCATTTATTTTAGTAAACTTTTTTTATACAATTAGTATTTAAGGCCCTATTGGGCCATAAAGTATACTTCAGTTTTTGGCTTATATCTTCCAAACAAATGGTTCAATCAAAAAAATCTATTAAAATAATTGCTTCATAAAGTTGTTTTCTTTAATATTCAGCAATAAAAGATAATTTTTTAGTTACTAAAAATTACTAAATAATTAATTAAATTATGGTGGAGGTGCCTGACAATTTTGAAAGGGTTTCTATTTATATTTAAAACTAATTATATTATGTGATAGAGAAGCTTTAAATTACCTTATTTACCAAACTTGCTGTTTATTATCATTAATAGTTTACCCTGTAGATGCATTTATTTAGAACGAGTACTTCCAGCGCAACTTAATTACCGATTATCTCCGAAACTAAGCCAGATACAAGCATACGGAAAACGGCCCGGGGTTCAGTATAAAATTCTTTATAAGATAAGAGTTTAAAATATGTAATTTTATAAGAGTGAAAATCAATTTTCCGACGCCATTTTCTCGGAAAGTAATAAAGTTAGAAAAAACTTCTTGCACTTTCTTCATGCCATGATAAGAATCTATAAAATGGCAGATTTAGTTTTTCCATGTTCTAAAGTTGACCAAAACCCCCACTTGACTATTCTTAGGCCTAAAAATTATTTTTTAAGCTAGAAGAAAATGGAAAACGGCAATCGATAGGAATTGCAATGCGATGAAAGATATCCAGTCAGTTTTCCGATATCACCATTATTTCAAAAAACTGGTGAAAATCGAAACCGACCAAATTGAACCACCCTCCGATTTTCACGAAACTTTCCCACATGATGTAGAATGATGCCAGGACTCCATTAATCTTTGAATGGTCTTGATGACTTAATTAGTTTTGAGTTATTGACCATTTTCACTTTTACATAAGTGTAGATAATTCAAAAGTTTAAAGTGCTAGATAGTGTAAAATTATACTCTGTATATGAATCTGAAAACCATTTTCTTTTATCTCCAATCGTTTCCAAGATAATTGCAAAAACTGGTTTATTCGTTTTCTCCAGCACTTCGTATGAAAAAATAAAAATTTGAAATTTAAACTTTTTATTGCAGATTATTAGAGAAAAGATGATTCTGTACACTTTATTTTAATACATTTTTTTAATTCCACCCTTAGTTTAGAAGATATGCACTAAAAACCGTTCAATTACAATTCTTGAAGTTAAGGGCTCAATAGGGCCTTAAATAAGGGTCATAGAAGAATAGTTTACTAAAATAAATGATTTAAAATGATTCACTTTATCATAATCCAGGAAAAAAATGTTCAAAAGCCACAATTTTAATTTAGGTCATAAAAAACATAAAACCGTGAAAAGATTTCGTCATAAAAAAGGCAAAACTTTTTCATTTTTTTTATCAAGAATTTAAAAATTAAATTTATTTCGACAGGTAATAATTTTGAAAAAGTAGTTCGATCAAGCAAAAATAATTTAAAGAAATAGTTCGACCTTGTCTTTCGAACAAAAATAATTTAACAAAATAGTTCGACCCTGTCTTTCGAGCAAAAATAATTTTGACAAAATAGTTCGACCCTGTCTTTCGAGCAAAAATAATTTTGAAAAAATAAGTTTGACCCTGTCTTTCAGCCCAAAAATGAAAGTGTTGCTATAAATAAACATTTTTGTAGGGCATTTTCGGGCACTACCGGTGGGTGTAGAAAACAATAAAGGTACACATATTGGAAAGGGTTACTGAAACTATAATATGACAATTTGAAACTATAAAATATCTCGTTGTTATAAAAGATACGGGGTGTTTTCCATATTCAATTTAGAAATAACGACAAAAATCACTTGACAAATCACTTTCCAAAGGTTTAAAGGGTTGGTGACTTACCCAGAATATATAGAGTCCCTCAAGCACTTCTGTGACTGTAAGAAATAGTTAATTGCTATATTTTTCAAAGAAATAAAAGGATATTTACATTAGGATCAAATATTTGAGTAGACAGAAAATAGTAGACAGGTAAATAGATATCAGAAGACAAAATAAGACCAAAAACAAACATTATTATAATTTAAATCGTATTTATTTACATTAATATCAATAGGATTACATATTTCGTACTTTCGAACGACTTTTTATTTACTAAAAAGTAGTACATACAGTCCTGCTGTCAACAAGTACTTTACATAACCGCATCGCGGCGCCACAGTCGATGTGACGTGCCAAATTTCATTTCTGGACAACACTCTCGTGCTCCGTTCAACAAAAAATCAACAAATTCTTAATTAAACTCACAAACAACCCGTACGAAAACCACTCCACAATGACAACGAGAACAAAAACCGTCGAAACCAAGCCTGCGGTCACCTGCTCGATATGGTCCAGAGCCATCAAATCAAATTCACAGTGGCCCGACAAGGTTAGTCTCGTCGATTTGTTCACTTCCCAATCATAATTTAAACGCCAATTAACATGTTTCCATAACTAAATTAAGCAATTTATCCACAGGAAGAGTTCCTTGACGTAATCTACTGGGCGCGGCAGGCAATCGGTATAATTCTAGGCATAGTCTGGGGTTTTATTCCAATCAAAGGCTTCCTAGGACTTGCATTGTAAGTAAAACCTCAGTATAAATACAAAATTACAGAAAATTTCAATCTTGTCACATTTGTAGGTTCATGATTGTGAATGCAGCCATCATATACCTGTACTATAGCAATTTCCAAAACATTGATGAGGAAGAATATGGAGGTGCATGGGAACTGACCAAGGAAGGATTCATGACTTCATTTGCAGGCTTCCTAGTGACATGGATAATAATATACACAGGATTATACTATGACTAGCATGAGTAGCGTCCAAATTAGGCGTTTGTTATAAAGTACAAGGCGTCAAGGGGTTGGTGCATTGGTGTAAAGCAGTAAAGGAATGTTTTTCGAAGTGTGCATTCATGCGAAATTGTGGCATTTACCAAATACAAAACACTAGCTCCCCAGCTGCGTTTTTTTTTACAATAATAGGTGAGGACTTTTATTACATACTTTTCTGTTGGATGCTAACTTTGAATAAAAAATAATTGTATAATAGTATAATTACAAATGTTTGTAAGTATGTCGATTTTGTTTCAATGTGTATATTGACAATTAAATTATTGATTGATTGGAATTATAAACAAGATTAATCTATGGAAGAGAATGAATCGTGGAAAACATCCAAAATGGCCGCCTACAGCTACACAATTCCGCATCAATTCAATTTTAGCACATATCGTAAATGAATTTCTTAACGCGTTAAAATTATATTATAATATCACATAAACACATTTACGGTAAAAAAATACGTTATCGAAGGAAATATGCACGAATGTAACACTTGCGCTAGCGTTTTCAATTTCTTCGCTCATGTTTCGATGTGCGCATTACTTCTGGTTCATTTGGATTAATGTTTATGTACAGTTGTTGCTCGCCGACAGAATTCGGCGATCAAGTGAAAGATTTTTTTCTTGGATAGTTTCGACTCGCGAACTTATTACACATCTCTCAATTACATATTAATTTCATACCAGTTACAAATCGTATATACGTATATATATATTCTTCTCTCTAATTGCACTCGATTCATCGGAATGAATCTTTTTCATCATTTGCCAAAATCCGCTCCGCTATGACCGTCCGTAAGTAAATATCGGTCGCTAGTGCCAAATAGTATTACATGCCTAACAGGTGAGTAGATTGATTATTGAGTTTGTATAGATTAGATGGAAGAGATGTAGTGTTGGTTTGCGAACACGTTTCGCGTGTGACTCTTTTCTTCTATAGTTGCAACTCTAGCAATAGTTATTACGTGATTTTTAAACATGACTTTTTGGCAATTACTAAACGTAGTAGAACTCGCATAAAGTGTTGCGTTAAAAACATGCGTGAGTGTGGAATTTTTTGTTTCAATTTTTGAGGAAAGTGAACTTCTTTCACTGGCAGTTTTGTTTTCAATAAATTGTACCCAAATATATGTAGTCAATTCGTACGTATCGTCTTCTACCTACTTATGTGAGCGTCCTCTTCGTCCTTACAGTTGTAGTTTGTGTCGCGTCTACGCTCGGCAAGACTGCGCGGTCGATCAACCGCTATCACCTATAGAAAACATACAAAAATTAATACTAAACTATTTAAAATTTAATATTTTAACATTCATATCATTTTCATTTGCTTACTTCTTACCTTACTGCGGGCAAGGAACTTAAACTCGTCCCGGATCGGAAAATAACCGCGTAATATACCTTAACGAAAAATAAAACGCAAAATAAAGCATGAAATGATAAATAAATAAATGAAAAAACGAATACAAAATGTTGAAATGCGTTAGGCAACCCAAGCAACAACAACCCACATAATAATTTCTAATGTTTAATTACCTGGCTTCTTGTCTTTTGTCAATTTACGATCAATGGACGATGTGTCGCTGTCCAGAGTATCGCCTGAATCTGGAGTATTCCCAGTAGAGTGAATGGGAGAAGAACCATCGCTTAACAAGTTATCTCCGCTGCCTTGTTTGTCAGAATTGTTAATCATTGACCATGGACGCGGTTTGGGTGCTGTCGCTGGTGGCGGTAGGGAAGCCGTCTTTGTTTTGCCTTCCTCTTTAAGACTTTCCGGTGTGGTGGCTTTCTCATCACCCAATTCACCTTCGCTGCTGCCAGTCGATAATAAACTATCACCAGTGGGGCGGCGTGTGAGCGGCGACGCTGTCTCTGAAGTAGCTTTACGTGCTACAGTCGGTGATTGTTTCTCCAAGTTGTCCGACGATCGCGACCGGGGTGTCGGAGTTAGAAGACCTACAACCATACATTTACATTCTAAATTTGAACAAGTTCTTTTCCTGAAACTTGAATTTTAAAACACAACGCAATAAATTTAAATGTTTACAAAATAAACTAAACCATGATGTCTATTGTACCTTTCAATTGAGGTGAATTCATGCACGTCCGCGGTGTTTTCCGACCATCACTCAAGTTGGGCGAGTTAAAATCATGATTAGGACTACCATCCACTTGCGTGATTTCCTCAGAAGTGGGTGTAACTGACCCAGGACGGAAGAAACTGTCCAAACCTTCTTTAAGATCCGCAGTGGGATCAACCGCATCGACAACAGCGTCCGTAGGTCGAAGAAGTGGTCGTGTAGGCGCGCGCGTTTTTGCTCTCCTTGGTCGCCCTTTGACAAGATGCTGAAGTTGATAGGTGGCATTCGGTAACTCAGTCACCGAATCATCTTCCTCGGCATTATTCCGCGGCATACTCGGCAATAAACTGGGAATGTCATCAGCGGACAAACCTTCAACGCTGTCCACAACTGACTTCGGCCGCAACTTGCGACCGTGTAGACTTTTACGTTTTATAGACAAATGTGGTGTCGCCTAAAAAATATTACAATTATTATAATAAAAACAAAAGAAAAACATTTACAAAAAAATTTTAGCAAATCTGTTAGTAAATTATTCCCACACTTAGCTTACCAGATTTAAATACTCCAACTTCTGCTTGTGCCGCGTGAAATTAAATTAATTGCGTACAATATTTGCATTACATGATAGCGTTAGTTGGTGTTGTAGATAAACTAAAGAGAGATAAACTTACCAGCGGCGAGTGGTCCGACTGGTGGCTGCTGTCTGTGATGGAAATGTCGCTCGCGCCGTGCCGCGAACTGCCCGAGCTGCTCAGACGCGACCTACGCGGCGGCGAGTCAATGCGAATGCCGCTGTTATCACCAAGCAGGATCTTATACCCGCGCAGCAACGACTCGAACACTTCATCTGTGATTTGTTCGGATACATACGATGCAATAATCAAATTTAACTCCCTAAAAACACAAAAATTTAGAATACAATGACGCCATCTTGTTTTATTCGCACGTCACTCACCCTAATTTGTTCATAATGTCAGTTCCAGCCTGATGTTTAATACAATTCGTAACGAAATCAAGCGGAATCTGTTTCTTGTTCTTACAGTCACGTTTAATATCCTGAATCGCATGATTGTCGTTGAGGACGTACGGACAAAGTTCCCTAGCACTTTTAAGCATTTTCTCGGTGATGGTCTGCAGGTACTCGTGTATGCTTGTATGCACATCAACAGACACCTGCTGTAGCTTTACTTTTACCGGATGCACTTCGTCCTTTTGCTGCGCAACCTCCTGAAGTATATTAAACAATTTCTTAGAGTTTTCCGCGTCTTTCATCACATCATTGGCGTGATTAATATCACTATTTGATGCTGGAGAATCAGCGCCTGCGTTCTTCACCACATCCATGGTTTGGTTGACTAGGCGATCGACGGCATGTTGTTTAGAACTTAACATAAAACCAGGCTGCAACGCATGGTGTTTCTTCATGTTACTCTTACGCGGCGAGACGTTGCGATTGAGCAAATCTTGAATTTTGCGCATCACAAAATCCGCCTTCTCGGCATTCGCTTTCATGCACGGTGTAATGTCATAAATAGGGAAGGGCATATGTGTAACAGTACGATTACTCTCCAGCGCGTATGAAATATCAGCATAGCCCTGAAGAGTAATATTGTTACGATCGTACGAAATGCTTTTCAGCTTCGTATTGATCTGCAGCGCCTTGGCGAGCAGGCGCGCGCCTGAATCGCCAATCATGTTGCCGCAGATGTCTATCACCTCAAGGCACTTGTTGTTACCGAGCGCTGAGAAGAAATTATGCAAGTCGGACTTGAGTCGGCAATCAGGCAAATACAACGACTGCAGCATGCACTCTTCGTCTTGAATAATTTGCACGACGGCGTCCATCACGGTAGACACGTGTTTCGCCTTCATGTTCATCATGTTGCGGCCCATGTAGAGATGCTTGAGCGATTTGTTTTTGCTTATGGCAATCACTACCTGTGCCATGTCTACATCCATTCCTAAATTTTTTTTAATGTATTAAAATATGCAAATTTTGGTGAATTTTAATCACTTACCATTTTCGGTAATATCTAAACTACTAATACATCGAACACCATGTATGCAGGATTCAATGACGTGAGCTCCTTGACTACCAAGTGAATTATAGCTCAGGTCAAGCACAATTCCCTTGGTGAACTCGTTGCACGCTAATCCCAGCAATAAATTCCTACGGAAGCAATTTATTATAAAATTAATCTTATGAAATTTAATATTATTACTTTAACGCCTCCTGTGGTAACTTGCAATGACCCATATTTAAATATTTAAGATTGAAAGATGTGCTGAAGAATTGTTTGAAAGCAATCGGCGCTTCTTTGCTCTTTTGCTGCTGAACGGGTTGCGGGAAACGTTCAAATGCACCAAGTTTGTAGTGCAACCCTTGACAAGAGCATTGAATAGCTATAAACCAACACAAATTAACAATATTCTTCAATAAAATTAAATAATAACATACATTTTCTAAAATAATATCAGTTGCTGATATATCCAAGTGTGTAATGGCATTCGGATGGCTCAAAAACGTATGTAAATTCTGCAACCCAAAATACATAAAAAATTATTACCCAATTTTATAATGTAAAAACATATAACTTACACTAATATCGTCTTTTAAATTATTCCCACTAATGTTAAGATAAGTCAACGTATTGTAAAGGCTTGTCTTGTTCGTCATCTGCAGCGCGAGTTGATTAACACCCTTGGCACTAAGCCCGCAATGCGATACATTCAAATGCACCAATCCTTTGCTCAGCTCAGCAATACACCCGCCCAAGTGCACAGCACCTTTATCCTCAATCACATTACTAGACAGGTCAATGGTATGCAGCGGAATCATGTGATTCTTCTTGAGGACACCCGCCAACTTATTAACAAAGTCCGACTTGAGCGTTAGATTATCCAGGTAGAGCTCTTCCAGACTCAGCGACTTGCGCAGCACGTGTAGCACCTTCTCCATCACATCATGCGACAATTTCACGTGGTTGACACGCAGACGTGTAAACCACGTGTTGTATTCCAGGGCACTTATAATCGGAATTAAATCTCTGGAAATTTAAAAATAAAAATTTATGATATTCACGCATACGCAGTAAATGCAGCTTACTTTTGTTCAAACTGGTCGAAATCTTTGAGAGCCAACTCGCGCGTGTTGAGCGATACGTAGATGTTGTCCACGTCCCAGGCGACTTCCTCGCGGTAGGGCATGTTGTGAAAGTCGCACATGCAAGCATACTGCGTTGAGAAACCTCCACAAGGTCCTACTTCACGAATATTACTGCCAACTGCCTCGATATCACGAAGAACTTGTAATCTCGAGGCGGGTATTACGTCAATCTAAATTCAAATTTAATCATATTTTATTTTAGGAACAATTACTTAAAGCTTTAGTATAATATTACTTACTGTACGTATAATGTAGTGTAGCGAGACGGTGGGGAAGATGTTTCGGATCGCCGTCGCCAGCGCCGAAATCATACTGTCCACCTCCGTGCTGGATGTGGAATCCTCGCCGGTAAGAAACGAATACGGTTTCTCGTTGAATGTTATGCATAGCTGGTTACCGCGTTTGCTTTCCAACGCTTTGATTTCCAAGTAATGGAAGTGACAGTCAATCTAAACCAAAATAATTTATTTACTGTCTTTTCCTTTTGTTGTTATTGAGTCTACGAAAACACTTCTAATATTTATTTCTATTTTTAAATTGTGTTGTTCTACAAATCTTTTTATCGACAATTTCACAGTTAAAACTGCAATTTCACTGAATTTGTAACACAAGATGATAATTAAAAAGTGAAAAAACATTTTCTTTTTATATCACTTACTCTCGTTGGAACTTTGGCTGTGAGTAATAATATTCGGCATGGTGAGAACACCTAGAAATAAATAATAAACAAAATTATTTACAAATAATTGAATTTTATCTTCAAAAATGTATTTACATGAAAATATGAGCAGTTTTTTGTAAATTAATTTATTAGTATTTATATTCTTAAATATAATATGTACAAAAATCATTTAAACTTAATTTTATTCCTGATCTAATTTAGAAAAGTCCTCATATTCAATCCCGTTTAATTTTCGTCCTAACAAAACACCTTTAGAGATCTCTAAATCAGCACAAAAATGTTTTTCGTTTATCCTAAGCAATCTTGCAGTTTCCCCGCGATATGCTCCATTGACAATGCGAACATCTTTGCCAATTGCAGGTATAACAGTCTCCAGATGTGCCTGGTCAAGTTTCACCTTCTTCCCACTATCAAAAAGCTTGACAATCGCCGTAAATTTATCGCGCACTTCTCTAATAACTCCCTTGGTTTTATAAAATTCATCACCTAGTGATTTTGTTACAATTTTCACAACAATTCCTTCTGTAATCCAGTGTTCCTTCCTGTTTGATTTTTCTTTCTTGATTTCCTCTTGTTCCATAAGTTCATCAATGGCTCTCTTCTTTCCTTGTTGAACTGGCAGTTTTGGTTTTTTGAATGATGAATCACTGGTTGGCTCTTTTTAACAATTAATTGATTAAGTGGCATTACCATAGACTTTGGTTTCTGTTCAAGGTTTATATTTAACTTAATTTTCTCCTCTTCATTTTCCCTTACTAATTCTGTAGGTGCCACTGGTTCGGAAGAGGGTCCAGCCTTTTCAAGTGCAAATTGCACCTGTTTCTGAATGAATTCCGCATCCTTTTCATCGTCGTCTTTTTCCATCTTCAAGCGCTTCTCGCGTTTCTTTTCCCTTGCAATGGCATCTGCATCCTTCTCAATGTAGGTAATATACCAGCCTTTTTCAGTTTCTTCTATGTGACACTTTCCAGTCGCTCCGAGATATCGTACAAACCCGCCGAGAGTTACCCAACGTGTGGCATTCATGTGTACATGATTCCTGTCGGCGATGTACTCTTGATACACACGGTTGGCAAGCACACGTTTTGAGCTGAATTGACGTCGCAGGATCTGAATGAATTCTTTACTCAGCTCATAGGAAAACTCATCCATGTACTTCTTGGAGTTGTCGGCAAAGAGGAGGATTTGCCGTTGGTGAGACTCGGACATCATGTGGCACTTGAAGCCGTTTTCGTCGCGACATTGTTTCTGGCACATTTGGCAATACCAGCGCAGTTTCTGCAGACCCTTGGCTTTCATTTTGTTTGCCAAGTACTTGGGCGTTCCAACTTCTGCTTTCTTCCCCATTTTTGCGGTTTATTTCACGCTTTTAAGCAAGAATTTCTTGATAAACAAAAGTTGTTATGCTCCTGCGACTTGCTTTCGTTAACTGAGTTTGACGTACACTGACAATGTCATTTAGAGGAGGTTGGCATTTGACAGCAACGCCATTTTGAGAAGTGGGAGAAAACGCGGCAAATTCAAATTTCAACTAGCAAAATTTACACAATTTTCTTTAAATACACTTAAGAAGTGGCAATTAACACTAAAATTAATTAAATAACTTACTATCTAACTGTTGACCAACAATATCTTAATAAACAAAAGTTGTTATGCTCCTGCAACTAGTTTTCCTCAACTAAGTTTGACATATGCTGCCAATGTCATTTAAAAGTCATTGAGATTTGACATCGACGCCATTTTAAAGTAGTGGGAGTAAAACCCCCAAATTCAAATTTAAATCAGCAAATATTGCAAAATTTTGTTTAAACACACTCAAGAAGTACAGATTAACATTAAAACTGATAGCAACTTAATACCGAACTTGATAAAACTACCAAAAATCAATATTTGTGCCGAAAAGTATGCGAATCACATCGATTGTGGGCGTGTCGCAACTATGCAAACCATTCATTTTACAGCACTTATTCCATTAGCACGCACAATACAAACATGAGAAACAGCGCGCAAAAGTGTGCAAAGTATGCAATGCCCGCAGATTGTCACACCGGTGAGAGAAGTGCGCAAACAGCTACTCATGCATGTAGATAACAGGGTTTAGAATTACGATGCAGGCGATTTGTGACTCATCGGCAATGCGTGACGAACGCGAGACGCAATCAAACACTCCTTCGAAACCACAACACACTCGCGACAGACACTGAATAACTGTGAATAATATGTGCATACAAATGTAGATAATACTGACGCAATCAAAGGAAAAGAAACTCGCGCAAAACAACGAATTACTTGTAATACTTATGCAGCGTTGATTATTGAGTCATTCACTTCTCGTAACTGATAACTGATAATACATTAAGTTTTAATAATAACTTTCTAATAAAAAAATGTGATACGATTTTTATTTTTAGCGCAAGACGCATAATCGCGTGATTACGAACCGCCCAAAATGCTAATCATGTTAATTAACTCCAATAACTCACTGACTCGAAGGCCACATTCATGTGACGACGCACATACACACATGCAGCGCAAGAGAAACAATGGGATAAAACAAAGCTGTTTCCTATGCTCCTTATTTTTGTATATTCACATGACTAAACAGCAAACATCTGATTAAAATTCGACTCCAAAATCCCGTTTTTTACGCTAAAGAAACGCATTTCTTAATTTGAAATCGTTAAAAACAAAAACAAAACTACTTTCTTTACTTCCACAACATTCCAAACAATAACATTTGCATATTTATAAGCATGTTTTGACTAATTGTATGCAAAATTGGTGATTAAATCGCTCGGAAGGTGAAATTTTATGGCGGAAATGATCCATTTCTAATATTTAATTAATATTTACATTTTGACGCTTTAAATAAACGCAAAAATTGGTGTAGAATATTAATTTTTACGCATAATAATGATTTCTCTTGGAACAAATAAAATTTCATGAACCAATAATGAATAGAAGTGAATATTTACTTAAAATAACTGATAAAAGAATAGTTTTCGGCTGAAATCCGCATTTTAAAGCGAAAAAACCCAATAAAAATGCAAAATTTTTAATAATTAACACAATTGACGTTAATTTTTACAAGAGAGTTGCAGTAAAATATGGTAAACAGCCTGAATTACAGTTATACTCCCCGAATAAACAATAGAACCACTAAAATTTAAGGTTTTAGAAGCAAAACACCGATATTTTAAGATAAAATCTGCGTTTTAATGCAATTAAACACTTCTAAAACACATTATCTCTGATATCTGACGGTAAAATGAATAAATTTTGCACCAATATTCTCAAAAATGTGATTATTAATCATATTTTTAAACCAAAGATCAAATTTTGTGTTTATATTCGCGTTTTAAGACGAAAAACCACGCAAAAAATGTATTTTAGTCACAAAACCAATAATATCATAACGCAAAAAATGTTTATTCCTAAAATATGATAAACATTACGTGTAAAATGCACTTCCAATGCTTAAAACTCAAATTTGACACCTAAAATACTTCAGATATCGCAATTAGATAACTAAAACTTCTTATCAAAAACTATATTTCAACTTCGTAAAGCAAAACAAGGTCAAAAATAATTTATTATTCGTTGACCTTGATTGTTTCTTAAGTGTTGTTAATGTGGTTAATGATCGTTTTCACCTTTTGACCGATATGTGGGCGCTGGTAAACATTAAACAATTCATTCAATGGTGCGCGAGATGCACAAACCTCATCTCCTGACACGTCCGTACGAAAATTACTCATTCATGCGCCGCACGCAAATGCAATAACAAATTACCGACAATTAATTAATAACTGTGTGTGTGTCACACTCACCAGAACCCGGTTTTCAGTCTTATCTCCCTTGGTTTCCAATCGCACGACATTCTTGAAGAGGATTTTCACCTGCTTGCCCAGCAACGATTTGATACTCTCTGAAACACCAGCACAGGTTAAACAAGCGACGACCGGAAAACATGTAAACAATGTTGAAAACAAAAGCCGGCGATGCGTGCTGCGAGCCGGGATGGTCGGCGGGCGGTCAGCGGAGCGCACGGGTTCAGTGGGTTTTTGGGGGATCAGGGGGTTGGCGGCGTCGCGACGGGCCGCGCCACCTCGCTTACTCACCGTTCAAATCCTTTGTGAGTTGCGATCGGGTCGACATCATTCAGGGCACGCCGACAAGGGGCTCGCGCACGGCACACGACGAGAGGACGGTGCGGCGCTCAGGAGCCCATTTTCATTTAACACTCGACGAAAACACTCTCGGCTACTCCGGGCGGCTCGTTGCCATTCCGGGCGGCGGGGCACTGCGTACGACACACACACGCCGACGGCGATCGCCATCTACTGAAACGGCGGAAAGCAGCAGGCGCAGCAGGCACTCGCACCAGCAGCGAATTATTATGATTATTACTTTTCTTCGAATGACAGAAGTGACAGCCGTTTTGGCAGTTTTGACAGCGCACGGTTCAAAACTCAACTTTTGATTTAAATTCACTTTTAAAACTAATTAACAGTTAAATATTAATAAATTCAATTATTTTACTATAAAATTTCGACTTAAATAACTTAATTATTATGTTTTATTCTTATTTTTAAAAGAATTACATAAATCTTGAAAATACAGTGTTGCCATCTACCTAATTCAAAACCCGTAGTCACGTACCACCATTTACAAAAGTAATTTACTTTAATTTTACTCATTTGTAACATGACACTGTATTTATCCGTTATCAATTATCTACAAACAAGTTTAATCACAGATAATTCCACAACTGCGCCTCAATTTTCAACAGAAGGGGAAATTTCAGCAGGAATTTAAGCGCAAGTCGGCGAATGTAGCACAAGTTGCATACATGAACCGCACGAATGGTCACAAATGAGGGGCTCAAATAAGTATTATTATTTTGTTTAAACATTTCGCGTCGCATTACGATTCCACGGCGATCTTCAAGTATTCTCTTCGCCCTCCTCGACTGTGATTATGTCCCTCACAATTCTACTCGCGTCTGCAAGAAGCACGCTTAGATGTAAGTGCCAATAAAGAAATAACCTAACTATCAATCATAGAAAAGTCACTCAAAATCACATCAAATCATCCCGAGACAATCAACGCACAAAAATATACTCGCGAAATTCACTTCGATTAACGCGACGAATACTTTTCCAGCTTGATGTAATATTATAATATCATCTGGACGCATATTCTGTTTGTTTTGTTTGCCTATTTCATCACATTCAAAAACTTAAAGTTATAAATCTGAAAAATCAAGAATCAATCAAGATGCAGATTGAAAAATTCATCCACGACCTGGAAGCGCTCATCCTGAGTGATAATCAAGTAGAAACAACCGAATTATGCATCAAGGAAAAGAATTAATCAAAGAAAATTCATTTGATGTGTTGGAAGCCATAACAGAACACATTACAGAAGCAAATGAACAGGAAAACCCTGCAAGACTACAATTAGCAGTTGAATTATTATCAATGGTCACTGAAGTGTGTAGTTATGATGATGTCTTGCTATGTTTATACAAGACACTTGCTGATACACTTGATGACACTACTTTTGTCCATTTATTGGACCCATTGAAGATTGCACTGACAAAAACACCAGAACATAAATTCAAATATGCAATTTGGTGTTTTGATGCGATAAAAACATTCGTCGCCAATTTACCAACACCACAAACTGCGAATATATCCGAACCTGAACGCAGTTCACAAACAGATGAGGATATAGAATTAGTCAAGCAGAGAATCATCAGAATCTTCACTAAAATCGTTGATTTCTATGAAACAGTCGCGCCGAAATTCACCACAGAAAGTAATAATTTACTTGTAAGGAAGTACATGCTGCAATTATTGGGTAAACCTTTGTGTTTCATGGATTTAAACCCTGATGAAGAGTGTTTTTCCTTTACTGAACGCATAATCAACCTTACAACAGAAAATTGTGATCCTTTCAAGTATTTAACTTGGTTAAACTATAAAAGTACAGATGAGGAAGACTTGAAAGTCGATAGACTCGCTCTCGCTAACTATTTCTACCTGATTCTGGTTTTGAAAGTTAACAAGACAAAGATTCCTCAAGTTTATGATAATGTTTTCATCTTCAGGCATATTATGTATTATCTGACTGAGCTTTTCAACTATGATCAACAATATGTGATTGAAAAAGGTCTTTTACTAGCTGATTATATCTTGAATGTTAAAAATCTTCCCCATCAGCTGTTAGATGATGAAATCCACTCGAAATTCACCGGGAATTTAAGCAAAGTAATCGTCTTCAGTTCCCTAAAAGAAAACCGTCAAAAAGCTCTTGAAGTATTTCGAAAATACATTTTAACATTTGATCAACGTGGAAAATACTTAATAATCCACAATGCATTCAATGTGGTTGAACATAGCGGCCTCATGGGATATCTCATCACTGTTTATAAAGATTTGATCGTTGATGAGTTTAAAAATCAAAATATTGGCGAGTTTTTCCGGGGTGCGAAGCTGGAAATCATGATAATGCAGTTTTGTCATCTACAAAAGCAGGAAAACAGCGATATGATGGAATTGGCCGATCAGATAATCCCAGCGTTGAATTTATTGCGATATTTGGCGATTAGAGACAAACAGGATGTGACAGGAATAAAGAAATTACTACCGATAATCTCGAAAGTGTTTCTGGAGCCGTTGAAAAAAGGCCTCGTCATTTCCAAGTCACACTACGGACAGCAAATCAAACAGATAAACGATGAACCAGACAGCGATAAAAACACACCTGTAACCGTCACTGTCGGTGGGAAAGACATGCCAAGTTTAGCTCGCAAAGATAAATTGAATATGTTGAATACATCCATTACTGTTTTCGATGTAATGGAGAGTCTATTGGCTAGACTCAACGAATGTGTACAGAATTGTTGAGAGAGAGAGAGATTTTCTTTGTTTCAAAAAAACCCAATAAAAATTTCACGTGTATTTTAATGTTTTTAAGTAAAAATATCACACTCACCTTGATTTTTTTTCTTTTTCTGATTAGTTTGTTTCTTGTGTAGATTCCTGCACGGTTGCCGCACAAAGATGGTGCTCCACCAAAGATAAAGACACGAATCACCATCATGAAGAAGAAGATGCCTATGAGGAGGAGATCCGCGATAAGATTCTCGCTGCTTCCTTGCCGTATGTGAAAGAGTTGGGCTGGTCGAAGGAGGCGATAGCTGCAGGAGCCTGCGAAGTTGGTTATCCTGGTGTCACGCATGGCATGTTCACACGCGGCGGTGGAGATCTAGTCTTATACTTCCAGAAGTCATCAAATTTAAAACTCGTGGATTTCATGAAAGATGTAAGCTAAAAACATTTAAAATTAATAATAATTAAACATAATATTCATAGTTTCAATGTCGTCATGAGGAAAAAAGCGTCCCGCCAGCGGAATTCGTTGAAATCGCGTGTAAAGAACGTTTGTCAATGACAATACCCTATCTTGCAAGATGGCCGCAGGCGATTGCCATTATGACGTTACCACCGAATGTCCCGCAGGCCCTGGCGACACTATTAACAATGGTTGATGATATTTGTTATCATGCAGGCGATCGCTCTGTTGATGTAAGTATAAATTACATACAATAATCAAATAAACATTTTTAAAGTTAAAATTTTGTTAGTTTACGTGGTATGCAAGGCGAATAGCAGTCGCAGGAGTGTACAAAGCAAGTGAATTGTACCTGATGCAAGATAAATCACCAGAATACCGCGATACATGGAAATTCCTCAATCGCCGCCTAACGGAAGCAGTGCAACTGAATGATCTAATCAACAGTAAGCGTGATGGGCCCAATATGGCTGGTAAAGACACGATTTCCGCGGCGTTTACAACAGCGCGAAATATTCTCGGTTTAAACAAAACTTAACTCTAGTACAAAATAAGCTAACCGTAGTTCGGTTTAAGTTAATCTAGACCAATTTGTTACACATATAAATGTTTTGTTAAAAACGTTTAAGCCTAGTTCACTATATTTCGAAAAGAAAACATGCCCTTCCTTATTATCATTCAATTATCACATTCATTATCAATAACCAGATTATAGAATAAACTTTGCTTCTAACGTAGCGGTTAAAATATGACATTTTTTAACAGTAATAAAAAGGTAATAAAACAATGCTTCACCAGATTCAAAATGAAACGAAACACTTTGAGCTCGGTGTGTGTGGACATCCACGCATTAAAAACTAATAAATATCGCTGATGAAATGTTATCGTATCAAAAATACTCTCGTTTGTGCGGATGTCAGTACTGCCCCTGGCGGAGATAGTGTTTGAGTGTGGCGGGCAGTGGCAGCTCTTCAATGGCGTTCACATTGCAATGCTGTCGCACGACGAAGCGACACAGGTGCATCAGGCTGCGCACCTCCATGTTACGCGAGACGGGCTTCAACAGGCGAATGGGCGTGGGCGGATCGTGAACGCTGTAGCTGAGGATGGAGTCAGCCGAGAGGGTTTGAGCGTAGTTTATCAGCTCCGGAACGCTGGGGCGCTCCAGCGGGCCGAGTTTAAACGAGCCGTTCTCATACTCGATGTATGTGTGCATCGTGTAGCCGTAGGAGCGTAGACTTAAGGTGTAGATGTGGTTCTGTGAGCTGGAATCGCGGACGAGGAATGCGCCGTCCGGTTCACTGCAGAGGTGCTCTTGAGCTTCGCGTTTGCTGAGCGGACCCCAATACCAGCCGTGTTTTGATAGGTTGAAGCGTTCCAGGACTAATTTACCCACCTGTGGCTGTGATGAAATTATTAGAATGTGTTTTTATTTAAGTTTAAAAGGTTAAAGTGCAACTTACAGGTCTGACAGCTTCCTCAGCAGGCTGAAGATTTCTTGGTGGTGGAACTGGGGCAGGTTCTGGCTGTTGAGCCATCGGCATAGGTTCTTGATTCGTCTGTACGGATGCCTGGTAGAGTTTGCTGTCGCGATATCGCCCACCGGAGCGCCGGAAGGTGCGCTTAAAACTGCGCAGGATCTTCGCCGTGCGACTCTTGGTGGTGTTGTCGTCGTCGCAGGCCTCCGGGTCGCGCGACGCTCGCGTCGTATTGAACCAGAACTTAAACTTCAGCATCGCGCGTGGAAATCGTCGCTCCTGATGTGTCTTGCCATTGTAGCCGGATAGATCCATCTTATCGCGATGCTGACAATTCGCTCATTGATAACACATTCACTGTGCAAATATTCCAATTGCAATAAATGAATGCAACCCACACAGGGGACGGTCAGAAGAAAACAAATGACAAACGAATGTGAGATGAGCAAGAAAGTTTCATCTAAAGCTTAACATACACTTATTGGTATCTTATAGTGTTGAAGATGTGTTGTGGAGCTTTAGAGCTGTCATTTTGGGATGACAATGCAACGTTGCCGTCTTAACATAACAAATCCTGCTGGATTCCTGCGGGTGTTTATCTGTTTAGGTGTTTACGCTGTTTACACTGGCTTACTTTTAGCGATCGCGAAATTGTTGACAGTGCGAGTCCGCTGATTGCCGTCGAAATTGCAGCCGAAGAGAGTTCCCAAGCGTAGCGCTAGTTTAGTTTGTAGTTTAGATTTTTGATATCAATTGTTTCAACGAATTGCAGAAGAAGCACGAGCGCGCCGGCCACCCATCTAGGGGGTCGAAGATGTCGGCGATGAAGACGTTCATCGCCGATCGCAATGGATGTCATGGAAGCACTCGCTTTTGATTTGGTGGCGCGCGGAGAGTGGACACGCGCCGCCGACACCCTCAACCAGCTGCTGGCCGCCGCCGGCACCCGCAAGGATGATGTCGTTCGTTACCTGGTGGCGCGCTCCGAGTGCTTCTTCCAACTGAAGCACTACGGGGCGGTGATTGCAGACTGCCAGCGGGCTATCAATGCTGGCGCAGCTGCAAAACGGCATGAAAATGCGTTGGTTACAATCAGACACAGGCGAATTTGTGCATTGTTTGCACTAAGGAAGTATCAAGGTAACAATTATAAACAATACAACATAAAACTGTCATATTATAAACAAACCACTCAATTAATGTTTCCCTCAGAGGCGGAATTAGCAGTACAAGAATGGGTGGCATCAAAGAATGGTCCCAATCAGCACGAGGTAGCTAAAATCCTAAAACGCTTGCACGCCTCGCAGGCCGCCAATGGGCTGGGGCTGGAGGCGGAGCTAAACACAGTGGAGGCTCAACTGACAGCTGTCAGGGCGAGCAAGATGGACGCCGGAAGTGTGGTTATGTGCTCTTACTGTAGCATAGCATTCAAAAGTAAGATGGAATTACGCGGACACTGCCAGACAGAAGAGCACCAACGCGTCATCATGTCCGATGAGGGACGTGATTGGCGCTGGCGACCGCCACCTCGCGGATGCGATGCGGAATCATACAAACTCTGCGACGCCTTTCTCGAAGTGGGCGTGTGTCGCTACAGCTCGCAATGCATTGATGCACATGGCCTGGAAGAATTACAAGAATGGCGTGAACGTTTCGAATACCGCCGGATGAAATTACAACGCGCTTATGATTCAGAATTGTACGGAAAGTCATACACTGAAGAACTGGTTGATAAATTAGTCGTTTCGCTCGCACCCGAATTAATCATGAGAGAAAACGTGGATGATGTTGAAGTTTCCTGTAATAATAAACTATCCACAACACTTTCGGAGAAAAACCGTCGACAAACATGGATTTTACCATGAAAGCAGGTGAAGGTGTAGGGTTGAAGGCGGTAGCGTTGTTACAAGACACCCATCGGGCGTATTTTCATATAAAATCAATAAAAATCGGCTCGAAGAACCTGGAAGTCGCCAATCAACAGGAGTGGCTATGCAAAGGAGGCGTGGTTCATTCAAACTCCGCCCAGATAGAGATTTCTTTCAGTGCGGATATCTATGGCACTCTACGACAGTCCATCGTGTTTGATTTCGGCATCGAACCAATGCTAGTTAAACATTTATGCGTTGATGTCGTCCCAGTGACTGACATTGACAAGATTAACGAAATCCGCAAGGAAATTCTCCTCTCATCCAGCGAACGGTAAAGAAAAACCCTTAAAAATTGTTTTTAAACTTATATTGACTTTTTATTAATTTTTTCCAGTTGGAACTCGAATAATTCCGAAATAGTCCAATTCACATCACCACTCACGTCATTGGTACCCTCCTATGCAGACACCGAGTCTGATTGGGCGAAACACCTCGCCGCTGTTTACCCCGCCCCACACCCGGAAACTTTTATGTTGTCGCAGTCGACAATCAAAGAAAAACGCCTCACGCGTAACACCTACGCTGCGCGAATGCACGAATTGCTTTACATTGAAGAAATGGCGCGTTACGAATGCATCGCCCGATTCAATGTCACTTTGAAGTTGAAAATCATCCATAGCTATCTCCTCTCACCGAATAGCACTGCCAGTAGTACCGCGAAGTACTCCAGTTCAGGCGAACTCTTCGCTCTGATGCATCTTGGTAAAGAATTATCCGAGGATACATCAGCAGGACGTTTGATTTTAAACAATTGCATGACTGTTTTATTATCACCTGAAGATCACGCGCATGGTAAAGTCTACGAAGCGTTGATTGAAGACAAAGGTAAAACAATGATCTACCTCCGATTGTCTGCGGTCACTGTTAGTGAATTAGCCTTGAAAGCGGATACGGAATTCCGCGCGCAGATGCAATTCCAACTCAATCGCATACCGTATTGCGAATGGCACTATGCGATTGATAAAATCCCGGATTACAAGGTGATCTTCCCTGAAGTGTTCCTCGAACCGAATATTCCATGGACCCCGTCGAGGCAGTGGTCGGATTCGTTGGATTCACGCATGAATTTGAAGCAAAAAGAAGCTGTGGTTGCGATTACAACACCGCTTTATGTAAATTTACCTCCTGTGTTGATTATTGGACCATTTGGTACAGGGAAGACGTTTACCTTGGCTCAGGCTATCAAACAATTAGTGAAACAACCCGAAAGTCGCGTGTTAATTTGTACACAGAGCAACAGCGCTGCGGATCTTTACATTAAAGATTATCTGCATCCGTATGTTGAAAGTGGGCATGAAAGTGCGCGGCCTTTGAGGATATATTACCATAAACGATGGGTGGCGACTGTACATCAAACTGTACAAAAGGTAAACATAACCTAACATAACCTAAATTAATATCTATTAATTTTTATAGTGTTTTAGTATTGTTTAATAAATTCCGCTGGAGGTATGAAGCGTTTTCTCATCCCAACGGCAGAGGATATAATGAAACACCGAATTGTTGTGGTGACGTTGTCCATTTCGATGTACCTCTCAACAATAGGCTTACCACGTGGGTTTTTCACGCATATTTTCCTCGATGAAGCCGCCCAGGCCATGGAATGCGAAGCTATCATGCCGTTAGCCTTGGCCAATGACAACACACGCATTGTCTTAGCCGGAGATCACATGCAATTATCCCCGGAATTATTCTCTTCGTTTGCTAAAGAACGCAATCTGCATGTGAGTCTGTTGGAAAGACTCTATGACCATTATCCGAATGGTTTTCCGTGTAAAATCCTCCTCTCGGAGAATTATCGTGCTCATGAAGCGATTATTCAATTCACTTCGGAGTCTTTCTACGACCAGAAGCTGATCTCTAGCGGGAAACAACCCCGACATGAAATATTCTACCCGTTGACTTTTTTCACTAGTCGCGGGGAGGATATACAAGATTTAAACTCCACAGCGTTTTATAATAATTCCGAAGTTTATGAGATTGTGGAACGCGTGCAGGAGTTGAAGAAGTTATGGCCTTCTGCATGGGGGAAGTTTGATGATCAAAGTATTGGAATTATGACACCTTATTCAGATCAAGTCTTACGGATCAGATCTGAGTTACGAAAGAGGAGATTGTATGGTATTTCTGTGGAAAGAGTGTTGAATGTTCAAGGAAAACAATTCCGCGCGATTTTTTTGTCTACTGTAAGAACAAGACGGACGTGTCAGGCTGCAAAAGGTGGTGAAGGTGAGGATGCGGATTTTGGCTTCCTGTCGAATTCCAAGCTGTTGAATACCGCGATTACCAGAGCGCAGAGTCTGGTTGCTGTTGTCGGTGATCCCATTTCTCTGTGCTCAGCGGGAAGATGCAGCAAAGTCTGGGAGAGATTCATACAAATTTGTGAAGAGAACAATTCCTTATTTGGTATAACTTGGTTGTCACTAAAAAATCAACTAGATGGCGTTGAATTGAAGAAGACTTATACCCTAAACCCGCTTGCGCCTGAGTTTATTCCGCGAGCCATGCAACAACAGGAATATATGCGGCCATTACAGAAGTTCATGCAGAGTCCTGTAATGGTTATGCCTCCACAAGGTGTACCAAGACCTCAGAATCATCAAACACCACAACAACAACATATGCTTCCGGTTTATCCAGGGATGTTGCCATTGTTACCACCACAAGCTATGATGAACATGCCTAATATTCCTGTGCAGTATTTCATGGGCCAATCACAATCCCCGAGAAATCTAAACATTCAACCTGTGGGAAATCCCCGCGTAGGAAATCCCAACAAACCAGAGGATATTGGTATACAATTTCGTAACAATGTGCATTTTCCGGAGTTGCCTCCAAGTGTGAATGTACCCCCACCACCACAACAAGTCAAACCTATGCCGACGACATCTTTATCAACACTTACGGATTATATTAATCTACTGCCGACGAATATGTCACTGGCGGAGATGTTGCTTCAACCAATCGGGAATCAACAACGGTGGTATTATACTTTGTTGACTAATAAGGGACCCGATGCCGCGAAACAATTCGAGATGTTAATCATGACCGCGAATAGGAAGGAAACCGCCGAGCCTAGTATACAACATATGCAACCACAAATACAACACATGCCTTTTCCACCGATAGTTCAACAACAACAGCAATTTATGAATCCGGGGCATCCACAGTTACCAATAAGAAGTAATTCTACTCCTATGGGTGCTACTAATGGTGCTGTAGGTTTACCGAATTACCAAAACATACAACAAATGCAAACTGTTCAGAATTTGCAAGGAATTCAGAACTTACCTCAAACAAATCCGGGTTTGACAGCGATGCAGTACTGGAAACCGCCACCACATCAAGTTTCTCAAATATCGCAGATTTCACAACCGTTGTACCTCCGTCAAAGTGGTGATTCCGAAGGTAAACACCATAAATTAGACTCTGCAGGTGGTTCAGGTTGTTCCGGCATGAGTAGTGCAAGTGGTTCTGTTGCTGGTGGGAATGTAGGCTCACCGGAAATGGGTGTACCGCGCCAATGGCAGCAACAGATCAACGCCGAGTTTGCGCAGTTGAGTCTCCACAATGGCGAGACGGCTGATGATGTCTTCAATCGCTACAAAGACTCCACGGGTTCCACGACTTACGCCAGTGTTGTGCGCAATGTCGCCAACATCTCGAATATCGGTAACGATAAACTTTCACTCAGCGGGCCTAGATTGTATCAGTACTTTTGAGCGTGTGCTGCTTCACAATCTTACAATCGTATAATCATTATTTCTTATTAATAACCCACACAGTATAAAACTAAATTAAAACTAAAACACGTTAAACATAACACATTTCTGTGAAATATTGAAGAAAAAAACAAACAAAAAGACTACATTCTAGTTAGGACGAGTTATTAAACAATTCGAAGTGTATATATAGACATTATGTTTATTCGTTTTCAATAATTATATCAACACTTATAGAAAAGTAACGAAAAAAATGAGTAAATGCACGAGTTGCAACCAAAAAAAATATGAAAAGAGAAAATCACAAAAAGATTACCGAATTTACTAAGTAGATGATAAAATAGAATCTAAGCTTAAGCTTAAAATAAAAATATAAGTGTATAAAAAATAGCGGAGTATAAAAACGCATGTATAATATAAATATTCAAACGCAGAGATTAAAGAAGAAAAAAAATCATAAAAAAACAAAGAAAAAGAAACCTGTTAATTAATAATTATTGAAAATATAAAGAATATTGCGCAAATAATGACCTCTTTCAACAATTCACCTATTTTGTACATTAAGTTAACATTTAATTTCAATATTCCACATTTTAGCTAATATTTACAAAACACAACATTGATTCCCCTAGTCATGTGTTATGTCATGATTGATACTAGATATATTTAATACGCTGAGGAGGGATAAATGCCACCCTTATCACAGAAGATGATTTAAGTTTAAAAAGTGTATCAAAACGAATTTACCTAAATCCTATTCGAGTTCAAAACCACTCGTCGTCATCGTCGTCCATCATTAAAAGTTAAAAATGTGGTAGACATACTTTGCCCGCAAACAGTTCAGAAATAACCGTAATCCACAGCGCCAGCACGAAGAGAATGTAGGAAATGCCAACCTGATGACTGTTTGGGAGCTGATAAGGCTGCCCACCGATTTCATCAACGTGGAAACCCATTGGGAAGATTACAGCGGCCAAACAAAACAGGACCACTGAAATAATAGCAAAAAATTAATTTTTATTTTTTATTTTTATTTTTTGTAAAAAATAACTTACTAGCTGTAAATCCAACCCATCGTGCATACGGAACAACATTTCTATCCCAATGTGAAGATGCCAGCAGGATAATAGTGGTTGTGATGCAGATACAACCGACAAAGATGCATACTAATGCCAATAACCATTCCGGTTGAAGATCCGGGGTGAAACATACTTGCGGACGGTTATAGAGTGTCATACAACTCCACATCAGCCCCAGACGCGTGTCGCCTGTAAGCAAAAGTTTCCAATTATAAAATCATAAAAATACCAATACTGTAATCATCCTGTGGAGATCATTAATCATATAACTTCAATTTACACCTCTCACGGTGATGATGCATAAGTTACATTGTTGAACAATGAAGAAAGTTTGTGTATTCAACCGGATTCCGGACTTTATGTTGACGTCATCTTGAAAGACTGATCTTAATCGATGTATACAATCCCCAAATGTACAAAATCTACTACACAGTCAGTTTTATTACGTTTTAAAGTATAATTTGCGCATTTTGGTGGTTGACTGGTTGAAGTTGAAGTAAACTAAACGCAAAATGTTTGTTGTGTTAAGTTTTATGTGTGTTTTCATAGCACATGTTATTTTTTTCCTTGGTTTCAACCAAGAGCGTTAGATATTTCCGTGAATTTAACACAAAAAATATCGAAAAGTTTAAATACTTAACGAGTTCCAGCATTACATACTGTTTATTCTACACTTGAAATTTGAAAGATCAAGTTGAATGTTTACGTGTTGGGATGAGCAATGAGTCAAAGCAAATAGTGTAAAATGCGTGGCGCAAATGTGTGTGAAACGCAATCGCGTGTGACCACAAAACGAAAAAAGTTCACAACGTCATGAATGTATGATGTCACAACACAATGGAAATGAACAGGAACAGGGGAAAACCTCAAACAAGGAAATCACAATAACCACAAAACGAATTTTAAACAAAATGGCGGCGATATGAATAAATTAGGTCAAAGATCTTTTTACTTTTTAAATATTGACACAAACAATTAGTTATTATGAAGCAACAAAGTTAAACACAGATGTTTAACACTAACAATTAAGTTGACAAGTAGCGACACGTTCGCTAAGCTGCAAAAACAAGTGTTAACATCCCCTAATAACCAAACACTTACACTACATAATCTCATTATGTAGCTGGTGGAACAGAAACCATACACCATAATAACACCCGACGCAAATCGGTTCATTAGCTTAGACATTTTTTTTTGCAAGCCGTGAAACGTAAGACTTAGCAACCGACGTTCGTCCGAGTTGAGTGGGGCACAAACGATGCTAATATATTAAATACCGACGCATCGACAGGCCCACACTGGTGATTAAGTGTTAAACGGTGTTAATCGCTCAAAAGTGCAACGAATTTCAAACAATACACGCGTAAATTGTTGAAATAAAAACAACAAAATGAACACCGAAGAGTTTAGAATTCGTGGGAAGGAGATGATTGATTACATCTGTGACTACATGACGAATATCTCCGAAAGAAGAGTTACACCAAGTGTTGAACCAGGGTATCTGCGGAAGTTATTACCATCGGATGCTCCTGAAGAATCTGAAGATTGGGATGCGATTATGAAAGACGTGGAGGAGAAAATTATGCCTGGTGTTACCCACTGGCAACATCCGCGTTTCCATGCGTATTTCCCATCGGGGAATTCATATCCATCCATTTTGGGGGATATGTTGAGTGATGCGATTGGATGCATCGGATTTTCATGGGTAAATTTTACTAAAACTATTTTAAAAACAATTTCAATAATATTTTTTTAAAATTTAATTTCAGGCTGCAAGTCCGGCTTGCACAGAACTAGAAACAATCGTAACCGATTGGTTCGGTAAAGCAATCAATCTCCCCTCAGAATTCATCTCATCCTCACCTTTATCTCGTGGTGGAGGAGTAATTCAATCATCCGCAAGTGAATGCGTCTTAGTTTGCATGTTAGCCGCACGTAATCAAGCAATAAACTATCTAAAAATCGCCGATGAAGAAGAATCTGTTTACCTGCCACGACTGGTTGCCTACTGTTCAAAAGAATCGCACTCATGCGTAGAGAAAGCCGCCATGATTCTTTTGGTAAAACTACGCATCCTTGACGTGGATAAAGATTCAAACCTCAATGGAGAGACTCTACGCGCCGCCATGGAAGAAGACGAAGCGAAAGGATTGTTTCCTTTCTTTGTATCAACAACGCTAGGATCCACAGCGTGTTGTTCTTTTGATAAACTGAGGGAAATTGGACCGATTTGTAAGAGTAAGAAGAGTGTTTGGCTGCATGTAGATGGCGCTTACGCCGGAAATGCATTTATTTGCCCTGAATTAAGGCAACTTATGGATGGGATTGAATATGCTGATTCATTCAACACTAATCCTAATAAATGGCTGCTGGTGAACTTTGATTGCTCTTGTTTATGGGTGAAAGATAGAATGAGACTCACAGGAGCACTGATTGTGGATCCTTTGTATTTACAACATGCGAATTCTGACGAGGCGATTGATTATCGCCATTGGGGCATTCCTCTAAGTCGACGCTTCAGATCCTTGAAGTTATGGTTCGTTATCCGGAAGTATGGCATTCGTGGCTTGAGGAATTACATTCGTAATCATATAATGCTAGCGAAATACTTCGCTGAGTTAGTAGCTAAGGATGATGACTATGAAGTCCTCAACGATGTGAAATTAGGACTTGTCTGTTTCCGGATCATCGGCAGTGATGGTTTAAACCGAAGATTATTGGCGTTTATTAATGCTTCGGGTAAAATGCATATGATTCCTTCGATGGTGAGCGGAAAATATGCGATTCGATTCTGTGTGGTTGCTGAACACGCCTCTAAAAAGAACATGGATGATGCCTGGATGTTAATAAAGTCCATGGCGCAAGAATTAATGGAAACTCAAGCGGTTACACCGGAAGCAGTCACGCGTCCGCCATTAACACGACAAAAATCTCGAAGATTCTCTTTTACCAGACAAGTTTCACGCGAAGTTTATACGAGATCGTTGAGCAAAACCAACCTACACGATGGTGCGACCCCTATTCTCATCCCAGATGATGAAACGCCTGATTATAACGATGATGACGATGAAGATTATGATTATTGTGACTTGAAAGATGTAAATGGTGTGTTTGATGCTGAATTGCCAGCGAATATCAAACCCAACAGTAATTTTAAAATGTTGGCGACACGGTCGCAGAATACGCAATCGAGTTGATCCATATGTGTGTGTATTTATTTATGTGTATCGTTATTATAAACTAATCTAACGTAAACTATTTGGTGATTTATTACCTCCCACATCTGTGATGATCCAGTCGGGCATTGCGAGACTCACGATGGCGAATATATCAGCTGCCATGAAGAGTGTTCCAGAGATTAATGTTAACTTATCCATTTTTTATGAGTTGCGATGGAAATGCAGCGTTTATTTTATGTTGGAATGTTTATTATTGCTAAAAACTAAACACGACTATGAGAAACAACTGACGATCACAAGTTGTTGACTATTTTTTGACAGCGTGTTGTGACCTTGAGGGTAGGCAACGTAACAAAAAGAAACTAAATTTAAACAAACAGAGTATAAAATACCAAATTTAACGAGCTTATAACAATTAAACATGTTATAATATTGAAATAATGTGTTTATTTACAGTTTTTGTTAAATATTTACGTTTTTATAAAGTTTAGCAATGATATTCTAGTTGAAGAGAGAATAAAAGTCCCTAGAAAGTTACCAGAATAAGAACCAGAAGTAAAAAATTAAAACTTTCAAAAAACCAAATGAAATTTTAAGAGTTTATTAAATATTAATCAACACTTACACAAAAAACATCGAATATAAGAGAATATAAATAGTCAATCTTAATTTTTACTTAAGTATAATCTTTGGTATATAAGCTTGGAGGCTAAAAGTGAAAAATATTTCAAAGTCAAAGATGCATTTACTTCGCGTAAAGTTTCGCCATCTCAGTCTCAAGCTGGACGACTTCCATGCGCGAAACAAGATGGCATGTTGCATCCTCTTCACCACACTTATAACTACTACTATAGTTGATCAATTCCTGCGCGCCATCCATATCCAAATCAGTTAAAAGCAAAGAATCATTCCTCTGCATCAGCGCCGGCTGACAATCCAGCCCAGTCGGGAAACACAACTGTGTAATACTAACCATACTGACATTAATCACTTGAAAATCTGTATCGGAGAACGAAATCAGCAGAACTTTCTCAAGCAGAGCATTTCTTTTAATCGTAGAACCATTTAGACTAACTGAAGGTGCTTCTGTCCATTGCCACAACTTCATTACAAACCCATTTAGATGTCCTTTTAAGTACATCGCATTTTTACGCGTGTTTTTGAAAGAATATGGAATTGGGCGCATTGCATAAGCCCTAGGTCTAGACCAGCCCAAAAGACGTTTATTATCTTTCGCTAGATGAACCAAACCAATATTTGTATGACAATCAGGGCATTTTCCAACATTTTGCACTTCCAATTTGTGCCCACTAAGAATATATTCGGTCTCATGCTGTGGTTCATACTGAATCTTTGTTGCTTGTACTGGAAATGTTTGATTTACAATCTTCTTCTGCAAATCCCCGACGTGTATCTTGTAATAATTATTGTGTGACGCATTAAAACAATTGAACAACACCAATTTGTCATCGTATTTGTAATCATTGATATCATCACACATATGCAGTGTAAAAGAAGTTAAAAGACTTCCAGTTCTTCCACAAATGATGATTAATTTGTTGTGTTGCGCATTGTGTGAGTCTGTGACTGATAACAACTCATTGAGATTGTCTTTATTCAAATCAGGCAGTAGAATTGGAAAGTCCATATTGGAAATGATCATTTTTGTGTTGTGGCCATGCCAGATGACAACGCCACTGAGTGCATCAAGTGCTTGCAATCCCATTTCACTCAAAAGCAGACAATCATCAACACTGTCCTCGTTGACATCAATTAAATCACATACCATTTCACTTGGTGTTCGTACTTGTGGCAGAAACCAACTGATTTGTCCTGTGGCTGATTTTAAAGCAATTGCACCACTTGTGCTGCTTCCATCGTAGTTACTGTTGAGACTTTTCTTTGCGAGTAATGCAAGATTGACACTCTTTTTATACCTGCCATTTATTACGTTTATACGACCACGTAACTCAATTCCTTCGTGTTCTACCTTCCAGGAACCAATTCGTGTGGGGCAAGTACCATGAGCTGAGCATGGTAAAACCCAAAGAAAAATTACAATCACAAGTATGCAGACCAAGATGGATGCGATGAATGCCAGGCGGCGGGCTGGCGACATCGTCCGGAAGCCCTTTGGCCACTTTTTATCAACGCGATGGACCACATGTTGGGGTAGATTGAACTGCAGATGGTGGTGGTGATTGGGTTGGCCATTTGTGTGCGTTCGATGCAGTCTTTGGCCCGGCTGGACTTCTTTTAGATCGTTGATTTCGTGCTCGGAATCAGAGTCGCTCAACGACTGCGGCAGTTGAGTGTAGATGCCTTGGGAGTTATTCGCCGACATTGTACTGCTGGCGCATTTTTGTTTTCGGGAGAACTGTGGTGTTCAACCACTTGAAGGTATCGATTTTGCGACTGGAGCTTTCCGTACTTGATACGGGTGATCGTGGGATGTGTTTGGGTCACGCGATGACATCATTCAAGACCAACAGGTTATTTACAAACTTCAAACATCAAACATCTTCTTAAAACATTTAAATTTGTTGAAAGTTTTGTTAGTTAAACTTTATAGTTAACTAATTTAAATTTAAACGAGTATTAACGAAGGTAATATTCGATTGAATTCGTTTTAAACAATTGTGTACTGTATAATGTGTTGCCTATATTACTATAGTATCCTTGGGCAAACAATATTTTCCGAACATGCAATTCCTGATAAAAATATCCAAACACTTCCTAAACAAAACATAATGGAAGCAAAAAATGCGCATTTTCTTTGCTTTGATAAGCTTCCAAAATGTATCTTCATTTCAGTTAGATTTGCCACAATGGCTGACATTATTAAAAACCTTGTAGATTTCCCATATTTTGACTTAGATTCATGGCGTTTTAGCAAAACACCACTTTCTTCGCAAATATTAAGTTTTATTGCTGTTTTATGATTACATTCGTCTTCAGAAAATGATTCTGAATCACTTACACCTTGTGGCAAAAGAGAATATTCTAAACCATCATCCATATCTGTCAAAAATTAATAATTTTGATATAAATAAATTCCAACCATGGTAACAACATCCAAGCGATAATAAAATCAATTTTGATTTATTGAATCGCTCATTATTCGGTGAAGAATAATGCAAAACATGTCCCAAGGTCAATGCCAAGTTATGTATGTATGTTACATGTTCAGAATCCAGTTATAGACATCACCAACACTATAATACATAGTAATCTGGACAACTCGATTGGATGTGGGTTTATCAGTAGTAATTCAGTGAGGGGGGCTTAGTAAACTTGGTAATGTTACTGATTTAAAGAGTAACTTCACTCAGTGTAACTCAGTTGTGTTTTTATAGCCGGCTTAGTTGTTTATATACGGTAAACCACAACTACAACTAACAAAATGTCATCACAAGGTACTTAAGTCTTAGATAAGATATAAAAATGTTTAAAAAATCATTATAAAGCTTGGAAAACATCAATTTAAAGGAAAATTACACTGTCTTTGATTGATACTTGCACTTGACATTGAAAAAACTTAAATTATTCTTCATTAAAGTAATATAACAGTACAAATTGGTATTTAAATTGGTGTCTATTGTCACCAGGGCAAAGTTGAACTCTTGACCATCGAAATTTTATCTTCTTACACAATAATAATTAGTTTTTGATAAAGAAAAACATCGTCATTGACTTCTAGTCACTAATTTAAACACTTTGTAGGTCCTGGCTATGCATCCCCTCTGGACGCCATGAAAAATGGCCCCCGTGAAGAACTCCTCTACGTTGTTTGCGTCCAACCAAATCAATCACCAACAAAAACTGATTTTCTTGCTACTGTTGATGTTGATCCAAAGTCCCCAACATATTGTCAAGTAAAAAACACTTCAAAACTACACATAAACTAAAAATATTCTAAAAATATGTTTATTTATATACAGATTATTCATCGTTTACACACTGGTCAAGAAAACGATGAGCTCCACCACAGTGGCTGGAACGTCTGCTCCAGTTGTCATGAGAGCACAGGCTGCTGCGATAAAACCCTCAAACGCGATAAGCTTGTCCTTCCTTGCTTAAACTCCGACCGAGTGCTTTTCGTCGACACCGGGAAAAACCCACGAGCTCCAACTCTCCACCATGCAATCCCTGGTGAAGTAATGCGTTCGATTAACTGCTCTGCTCCTCACACAGCGCATTGTCTTGCAACTGGAGATATCATGATCTCCACCATGGGAGATAAAGATGGTAACGGAAAAGGAGACTTTGTTTTAATTGACGCGAAGACTTTCGAGATGAAAGGCACCTGGACCAAACCAGGGAAGTTAGCCAAGTATGGCTATGACTTCTGGTACCAACCATATCATGATATCATGGTGGCATCTGAATGGGGAGCACCTAAAGTGTTCAAAACAGGTTTCCATCCTTCCCACAGCGCTAACCCGAATGCTTACGGATCTTCTTTGAATTTTACAAGTGGAGTACTCGTGAATTGCTCCAGAGTGTTGACCTTGGTCCCGAGGGTTGCGCCCCATTGGAAATCCGCTTCTTACACAACCCTAAAGAAGCCCAAGGGTATGTAGGTGCAGCAGTTAACGCAAATATTTACAGGTTTTACCAAAAGGAAGATGGCACCTGGGCAGTACACAAAGCAATCGATGTAAAACAAAAGAAAGTCGAAGGATGGTTGACTTCTCACATTCAGGGAATGATTACGGATATTCTCATCTCTCTGGATGATAAATATCTGTATTTGAACAATTGGTTGCATGGGGATGTGCGTCAGTATGATATTACTGATAGAGCCAACCCGAAATTAACGGGACAAGTGTTTCTGGGAGGAAAAATATTGAATGATTCAGCTATTAAAGTCATTGAAGATGAAGAGCTTACTTCACAACCGGATCCTGTGATTGTAAAGGGTAAGAGACTCTATGCTGGGCCACAAATGATGCAACTTTCATTAGATGGGAAGAGATTGTACATCAGTAACAGTTTGTATTCCCGTGGGACAAACAGTTTTATCCAGAAAATGTCGAGAATGGAAGCTACATTGTCAAGCTGGATGTTGATACTGTTAATGGCGGCATGAAACTTGATCAGGACTTCTTGGTTGATTTTGGTCAAGGACCAGATGGGCCAGTATTAGCTCATGAAATGAGGTAAAATTTCAAAACAAAATTTTTTTATTTTTGATTTTTGACATTTTTTTAACTTTTAGGTATCCTGGCGGTGATTGCACTTCTGATATCTGGTTGGCAACAAAATAATTACTTCTTTTATGCTATGTTTTAATTTGTATTTGATACAATATTTTAAAGAAATTAATGTTTAAATAAATAAATGTTTTTCATGTTTTTACGTTGATGTAGTGACACCTAGCGGATTAATCACGGAAACTCTTTCGCAAACATAACCTGTGCCACAGTGACGAAGATTTGAGATGCGGCATACAGACGAGTTGTAAAACATTCGAAATAACAACATTCCTGACTAATACGAACTAAATGCGCTTCGAGTGCTTCGGAGAGTTAGTTTATTTAAACAATGACCGGGTTTACGGAGAGTGCGCTCGTGAAAAAATTGAATGAACTCAACAACTCATCTCAAAGCATTCAAACTCTGAGTTTGTGGATCATACACCATCGAAAACACCATGCATTAGTTGTGAAAATATGGCTCAGAGAATTAATTAGAGGTAACCACATAATAACAATTACTAAAACAATTATTGATAATAAATTTGCAGCTACATCAAGAAAATTAGTTTACATGTATCTTGCCAATGATGTAATACAAAACAGCAGGAAAAAAGGGCCTGAATATGGCAAGGAGTTTGGTCTGCACTTAAAAAAAGCCTTTGAAAACATTGCCAGCAGTGGTTGTGATGAGAAGACCAAAGGTAGCCTGGGTAGATTGTTAAATATCTGGAAAGACAGACAAATGTATGATGAAAGTCTCATTACGGAATTCCAAGAAGCTTTAAGTAATTAAAACAGTTATTTAATAGAATTAAATGGTAAATAATATTATTTTTAGATCTCCCAGCTAGTATTGAAGAACCACCAATCAAGAAACAGAAATCCAATCATAATTCAAATCCGAAAGAAAGGAAAAAGTCTGAGACTGAAGTGATTGTTGAGGTGGATGGCAAGCTGGAAACTCATGTACACCTAAGTCCAAACATAAATGCCTCAGATCCGCCGGAACCGGAAGAGCTTATCAAAGCTATTCAAGACTTAGAGAATAATACTGCTTCTACTGATGAGGGTGTCAGGCAGAAGATTGCTCAACTTCCAATTGAAGTGTCTGAAACTTCTCATTTATCTAAAATAGAAGGTAAAATGTTTTAAAAATTCAAATTTCCTATTAATAAATGCGTTGTTTTTTGTTTTAGACAAAGATGCAGCTGAAGGACTTTCAAAAAAAGTCGAAGATGCTTTACTTTTACTAAACGACTACAATAGTCGACTCTCCGTCGAGGTGGAAAGCAGAAAAAAGGTTTCTTCAATGCTTAGAGAGTTCCTCATCTCACAGAAAGAACTTCTGGCCCAAGCAGAAGCTGGATTAGAAGTAAAAACATCAAAACTTTAATAAAATACACAAAAAATATTAATTTTATTTGTATTTTCAGGAGTACCAAGAAAAACTATCCAAAGTCTACACCGTACGACAAGAACTGAAGTCTCACATACAAAACCTACCCGATTTGACAGCCCTACCGGATGTTACAGGTGGCCTGGCGCCACTTCCCTCCGCCGGAGATCTCTTCAACGTGAACAACGTTCATTAACAGAAATGAATCAACAAGTCTGAAATAGCTAGGCTACACTACACATACAAATGCATAATACATGAGTGCAGGTCTTAATTTAAGCTTGCTTTGTGTTTTTGTAAAGATTCATTTCATGTCGCAAGAGTTAACACAACAAGACAGTCGTAAAATGCATTACGTAAATGTACGACAATACTTTATTTAAATGAACAAGCAGATTGACATCTCACTTAGGCAAACAAGTGTGTAATTTTATTTGAACTTGTCTTATCGGCTAACTAACTAGAAAACAGTTGAGTATCATTTGTGGTTGGCGAATTGATTGCGTTTGAAACTACACAACAATAAACATTTTTCTAATGTTACTTGATTTAGTATATAAAAAGCAGTCTATTATGATTTTTATAATCTTATTTTGTTTATAATTATCTTATTATCGATTGTTGGCACCATCTTTTGATGCGAGCGAATCTAACCACACTTTCTCGTGTCCCGCAACATTTTTCTGATAAACACTTCAAAATTCCGCAATAAAAATGTTAAAACTACAAAATTTCAAACGAATACTCCAACAAAATGATAAACTACAAAGATGTTTATGCAGTGCAGCACCGAAAGACCCGAAAACATCCATGTCAATTGAATTAACAAAATCATCTGTGATTCAAACCAAACAACAAGCGAAAGCTGAGCTTGCTACTAAAGAAGATATGAAGTGGAGAACACCATGGCATGAAAAGGAAGGCGAGTATTACACAATGCTGCGTGGTTTTACGATGACAAGCCAGCCTCACCGTTTTTGCGTTTTGTCCAGCAACCTTTTGATATGTCTCCAAGTGCATTCAAAGGTTGGTGGGCCAAGAAAAAGGAGCGAGAAGCCATTGCACTCCAGCAATATCTACCAGAAAGACATGCAATGCTTGGTAGTGAATTGGCAGCAGCCCATTTTCTCGTTCACAGAGGCGCGGCTGTGAAATTCTTTGGTGATGACAAGTGGATTAAAGCCAATGCACTCAATGATTATGAACTGCCCAAAAAGTATCAGGATGATTTGTATCTACAGGCAATTGATTGCACTGATGTAGAGTTATATTATGAGGGTATGGTGAATTTAAAGAATTTGAAGAGTCTGGAGTGGCTGAGTCTGAATGGGTGTGAGAAATTGGATGATTGGGCACTGGATAGAATTGGAAACATTTTTAGTCATTCACTGCTGTATTTGGACCTTAGAAATATTCCTGATATTACACACAGGGGTATTGAGGCTCTGTGCAAGTTGGAACATTTGAAGATTTTGTATATTGATGATATCTTTGCTTCTAAAGAGTTTGAAATGACTTGTTTATTGTTACAAGAACATAATCCCAGTTTAGATATACGAATTGAGTATTAATATGTATATTGTATGGATAACAATAAAGTTGTTAAATTATTGAATAACTTATTTCTTGTTTTTCTTATTTTTATCAATAACTTTTAAATTATCTTCAAAGTAGTTTTAAGGTTATATTAGGTATTTAGTTCTCAAAGAGTAATAACTTATAAAACATTAATAAAACTAAGCAATAATTTGTCTTCCATAATGGAAGGGCAGCAATGGACAAAATTACTTGTTTTACTAGATCAAAACTCATCAGAATATGAACACTTATCAATTAATGAAGCCTTTTTAAAGTTCTATAATGAAACGAACAAGTATGTGCACTTTATATTTCAATCTACCCTTAAATAACATGTGTAATAATAAATAATATCTATTTTAGTATTCCACATGAAGAATGGCTCAGTGAGCAACTTGCAGAAACACCTACCAAGTCCAATACAAAAGCTGAAACCTTTCGAAGCCTTGGAAATAAATTTTACTGCAGAGGAAACTTCAAAGAAAGTATTAAATGGTACACAATGAGCCTGCATTTTGCAATTCACAATGGAGCAGAGTATGGTAAAGCACTAGCCAATAGATCAGCAGCATCTTTTGCTCTGGAGCAGTATGATGAATGCTTAAAAGACATTGGAGCTTGTTTTGCAAGTGAATATCCTGTTGAATTACAACAGAAAGTTTTATTAAGAAAACTACAGGCTTATTATCATTTAGATATGGATGATGAGTTTAATAAACAAGTATTAGACATGGAGGACGAATTTAAGGATACTGGTAATAAATTTTGTATGATTAAACACTTAATAGTTCAGAATTAATTAATTTCAGAAATATTTCAACAATGTATCAATAATTATAAGAATAAGGATAGAACTGGCGAGGGAAAAAATCTCCAGCTAAATTAGATCCGGAAAACTTATTATTAATGAATGAAACGTTTGCTTTTGCTACAGACTTAGTAGAATTAAGGTAAATTAAAAATTAGTGTTTATAATGAAAAGAAGATCAACATATTTTAATATTATTTGTTTTATTCAGATACAATTCAGAAAAAGGCCGCCATGTTATCGCCGCTAAAGATATTGAACCAAACTCCATTTTGTTTAAAGAAGAAGCTTTCGTTGCTGCGCAAATTTTCAAATCTCGTGAAGAACTTGAGCACGAAGTGTGCTACAATTGCTTGAAGCATATTCCTTACTTTTCATTACCGTAAGTTACATTTATATAAATCAAAAGGTGAAAAGCAATATCCGCGTATGTACGACTTAAACCTTACCGATGACGTCATAAAAGGGAGGAAAGAGGAACCTGAACTGCGACTGCATTGCTGGACGACTCAGGCACGACTGAGCATTAGGCTACCTGTGCGCTGCCTTTTTATACCTGCGGCCCACCAGCAAAAAGTGGAGGGGGAAGGCGCGTGAGGTCAGCGAAGTTTCTGATTGGTCGTTTGTAGGAAACACCTGGTGACTACCTGCAGGTCATACCGCTACACGCGACCAATGAGAACCTTCGCTGACTTCACACGCCTTCCCCCTCCACTTTTTGCGGGTCAGCCGCAGGTATAAAAGGCAGCGCACAGAGAGCCCCGTGCTCAGTCGTGCCTGAGTCGTCCAGCAGTCCAGTCGTAGTCTACACTCCTCTCTTCTTCCTTTTTTGGTGTCATTGATTGCTATGGGGTCTTTCCAAGTCTAGTATTTTAATCAATTCATTTCCACTCGTTATTTTTCACCTAATAACAAACTCTTTTCAGATGTCCTTCATGCACCTATTGCCTATACTGCAGTGAAAACTGTAAGACAACTTCATGGTCTTCAAGCCATCGCTTTGAATGTCCTGGCATGATTATTTTCTACGAATTAGGTCAAGCATTACCAGCCTTCAAGTGCATAATGAAAGGTATCACCAGTAACTACACAGAAGCTGATAAAACATCAGTTATCTTTGGTGATTCAGACAATAATTACAAATACGCTAATTCATTACTAACAAATTTTGAAATACGCAGTGATAAAATGAATTTCCTTGGAGTAGCACTGATTATCATCATTTATTTACGAAGTAAGACTGATTTCTTTACTTATATTCACGAATATATACAAAACAGAGAAGATTTAGAGGTTTTCATGGGACAAATGTTAGTAAAACACATGGTGCAATTGTTTTGTAATGGCAGCATTGTTGAAAGACAAACCGGGTTGAATTCTGAACGTAGACCGATTGCAGCCGCCATTTATCCATCGATTTGTATGATGAATCATTCCTGCAAGTCGAATATCACGATAAAGTAAGTAAAAACCTCTTAAATTTTAATTTTTTACTAAAAACTTGCATAATATTGTAGATATAATGGTTCTACAGCAATTGTGAAGTCAATTGACAAGATTCTCGAAGGTGAGGAAGTTTTCAATAGTTATGGTGTTGATTACACCACAGATAAAAGCTTTAGACGAAAATATTTACTTGAAAACTTTGGTTTTCATTGTTCCTGCTCAATTTGCGTCAATAATTAAACTCCGACTTGAGTTTTTCATCGTATTCCGAATAATATCGAACAGTTTGAACCAAATTGTTAGTATTTACTAGTTCCTTAAACCGTATTTCTTTTTAATTGCTCTCTGTGAAACCACGCTAATAATTTATGCATCGTTCCGCGCGCCATTTCGTTTTCTCCACGCTGAATTCAATTTTCAGCCTGTTGTACTATTTACGCAGGAGAGTCAATTAAAAATTCCATTACAACATTTTTACGACATTTCTACCTGCGTAGCATATGGAATACACACGGAAAGTAGATTGTTGTGATAGAGCTATTAGAAGCACTTTGCACAAACGTAAATATAGATTTTCTTTCGTTTTGCTTACACTACGCTCCTTTTTATGGACATGCATGCTTCCACATCGTTAAAATATTAATTAGCTTTCGTCTTATACGCTGCACGTCGCCACCAAATGGTCTGTAATGAATATATTAGTATGGTTTATGGATCATAAGTGGATCAAGATCAGAAATACGGTTTATTTGTTTGGAAAACAAAAGAAATTCACGTTTTTTCATAAAAATGAAAGAAAACGTTAAAATTAGTTAGGAATTTTGAGGTTATGTGATATATTTGTTTGTTTTTATTGATATACAAGTTTAGAAGAAGTTTTTCATTGAATGCGACATGGAAACAGTAGTTGGTGTTTTGTTTGATTCGTTTTGATTAATTTCTTGCCCCCGAAAACAAAACAAAACCAAGATAATTGTGTTTAATAAGTGCCTGGATGCGGAACGCAAGTTAAAATGAATGATTGCCAAGTATCTGAACGCCATAAATTGTGTTCGAAAGCTTCAATTATATCGTCCTGCTTGTTTTCGTCTGTGCAAATACATATAATACAAACTTCTGTATTCTGTCTTGTCATTTCTTGATTCGCACACTAGTGCGCTTCCGCATCGCGTCTGTTTGCTTAGCGCCGTGTTCATTATTTGCTATTTTTTGCGCGGAAGTCTGCGTCTGGGGCGCCCGGTTGAGGAAAGTCTGGAAACAATGTGTATATATGCCCGACGTCCGATCTTCGCAAGCGCCGCCCGAGTCCATTACAAAGTTCCGCCAAATGAGCACGAACCGCCGGCGCAAAGAAAACTTATCAAGAATTCCTATTATTCTTAATTGACTCGTTCGTTTTATTCCATTTTTGTTCCGTTGCGCTCGATTTTGTCGTGCGTTTTGTTCTATTTGTGGGCCATCACCAGCGGCGGAGCCAAACGCTTTTCACCACGCGAGGCACCATCAACGTACTGATGAGAGGAATTATTCAAACGCGAGCAAAAATAACAGAAATAACAAGTAAATTGCGTTTTTATTTTCGCGTGGAATTAAGTATTCATTGCCTGCATGGTGCTGCCAACGTATTGCTGCGGATTTTTTTGGAACTAAATTCAAAATAATAAAATTCAAAAATAAAAACAATAAAACAACAAATAGAACAATAAATAAACAAAAATATCATAAATTATTACATTTTACTAGCATAAACATTATTAAAATTTAATTTAAAACAAATTACAAACAATTTTAAACAATTTTTAACTTTTCTAAATTCACTATAGGCAACCGATCACACACAATTAGTTCAAACTATTGCCGCATCTTTATCACTTTCTTTCGCGCGTTTCTTTTAGTTTCGCGTGTTTCAGCTCGTGCTTTTCTTGCAAAAAACAGACAATTAACAAAACAATTAGTATATCCGTGATATCCACACGAACAAAGACAAAATTGTGCATCTCCTGAACATATTGCAACAGACTTTCCATCCAGTGCCAACCCGTGAGAAGCCAAAAATCTTCAGCGTGCCGCATCTTCAACCATCAGGTTAGAAAAAGGTAAGATAAGACATCCACAAGTTACAATAAATGTTAATAAAAAATTAGTGTGCAATCACGCACTCTGCGCACGTATACATCTACTAACACGTAAATATCGGGCTACACCGCAGCCGTTAACGGAAGTGTTCGGATTCGGTTCACCGACATTGCATTTTCATTTAAATTTATTACGTACGAACGGCGCATGATGGCGGCCGGTCTACGGCCACCTTTAACTATTCCATTCGAATGTTCGGAACGTTCGGACGTTCTCCATCCTTTTACTACTGCTACTAATACAGGTATAGGTAGAGTAGAGACTATCTACAATACGAACGTAGGTCACTGCTGCAATATTCAATTGCGTGTTTTGCATTCGCGGCGCGTTCCATTTGCGTACGAATGCTAAATGAGAGAGTTGCGCGGTGGGCGCGTGTGGGAAACGGCGGAGTTGATCACTGGACTTGTATCTGCGCCTGGACGCATTCAATTCGACGCCATGTTGGTTGTTTTGTTTAGTTTCAACTTTGTTTTCATTAGTGTTGCAATGTCTTGCAATGTTTTGAAGGAGAAAATTTGAATATTTTTGCGTTTTTGAAGTATTTTTAAGGGAAAAATTGGTTTATTGACTGCCATCTTTGAAATTACAGTTTTCTGTACACAATTTGGTGTGGAAAACCATGTTTTTAACATTTTAGTGTGGAAAATTCTGTTTTTTGCTGGTTTTGGTGTTTTCTACATCGAAATGAGTAAAATAAGTGTTTTTCACTCAAAGTTTGCAGGTTATGTTCATTTCCTGCACATTTATTTGAATATTTTTGCATTTTTGAACTATCTTTGTGCAAAAATTTGTTTTTATCTCCGAAAAACTAATTTTCTGCAAAATTTTTTCAATTTTTTTGTGATTTTACTTAAAATTACTCCAAAATGAGTCTTGTACTCACTTAAATCACTTATTTTCTGCACTAGAAGTACAATATCTCTATCACTACAATTAAAATAACGTAGCTTCGTTATTTTTTGCATTGTTTTGTCGTTGCGCAGCGAGTGGAAAGCGCGTTTCGCTCCGCTTATCACACGGCGCTCGACCCCATGCCGCCGTGGGCCGCGTGCGTCGCGGCGCCGCGCCGCGCACTGTTGCTCCACATCGCCACCGTTCTTCGCGGCAGTACGCAGCTCGCCAGCGACGTGGGTGGACGCGGACGAGACGCTACCGAAAAACGCGCTACCCGAATTGCGCGCGTGTCTTCTCGCGCGCGCGCCTCTTCCACACTTTAGCAAAGTGGCCGAAAGTTACGAAAAAGTTTGTTTGCTGCAAGAGTCACCGGAAAGTGCGTAAAAGTATTCACGAGGCAATCAGATAAACTCGGAGATGTTGCACGCACAAAAGTGCAAAAAGTGAATCTCGAGTGGTGTGGAAGTTTTCGTGGCGATTTTCAGAGAAGTTTCACGAGATTATTACGGATTATGAAGTTTCCTATAGTTTAATAGTTGTCAAACTTTTCGTTGGAACCTAAACAAACGCCAAAGAAGCGATAATCGTTGAATTTGTTTGTTTTTTGTAATTGGAACTTACAAAAACTTACGGAAAAGTGTTTTCAGTGCGGGAATTAGTTTTGAAATTTGTTGCGGAGCTAATAATGCGATCAAAAAAGCTTTGAACAATTCGAACAATCGAGTGGTTAATCATCCGAAAGTTTCGGCGACGCGTTAATTATTCATACCATCAACTTTGTGCAACGCAAACATCAACACCCGCACGAAACGTAACTTTTTAACAAACTGTGAACACAAAATGATGGAAATCACGACATTCGGAATAATTCTGCTCGGATTTTCTTTGTCAGGTCAGTGTGGAAACTAGAAACACAACTTTGGTTTTTAAATAAATTAAAACTAGCATGAATATTGCATATTGCATAATGATTTCGTTGTTTGGTGAATGCATAGGTATGACAGTTGTGATCGTTAATCATCGTATCATGTTTTTCGGCACGCCGGGCGAAATTTCAACCGGAAATATGCTGTGTGCGCGAAATGCAGGCGGACAGGAAAATGTGGCTGGACAAACAGATATTTCAATAACGTGTTGCGTTTGTTGGGCGATCGCGTTTTTTTCTCGACGTTTGGTTTGTATTTTCGTTCGTGTATTCCATTTTTACCATTCATTTAGAGTTGTCACTTTTGTTTACGGCGTTTTTCGATATTTGCAATGTTTGTTGGGCATTTATTTCGGGACACAGGCTGAAAAATGGTCGAAATTTGTGTAAATAGCTTTGAATAAACATTTGTTGCAATGTTTATTGATAAAAAGTAATAATAGTGGTAATAGTGGTTGTTGGGCATGTTATATCAATTTTTTTTTGATAATATCTTTAAAAATAATTAAAAAGTCTAAGCCAGGGTTATTATAATTATAAAATTGGTATATTAGTCCGAGTAATTATGAAAAATATGAATTAATTAACATGAATCATAGAATAATTAATTTTTAGCGTTTGATTATTCATAAAATTTCTATTTTTATTATGAAATTGGTTTTTGCTTTTGTTTTCTGTTTATTAATAACATATTACGCAATAATAGTTTTGGTAGGTGCCATTTTTGTATTAATTAAAATAATAAGTGTTTAAAACACATTTTAGGAACAAAAAATAATCAAATATTGAGATTTTACGCGGTTTGGCATCTGTTTATTCTTTGTAAGCTCAATTACTCTTGTAAAAATGCCAGTAAATATTTCCTGAAGTCAAAATATGAATTCCGCGTCGCTCAGTTGTATTCACTTGTGTTATGTTTAAATGATTTTCTAGTAACGCAACGTGCACCCCAACAAATTAGCTGAAAAATCGTGCTTAAGTTATAGAAATTTGCATTGCAATTTGTAGGGATGTTGGGATCATAATTACAACAATATTTCAAATTTTACCATCGATTTCATGTCTTTAAAAAATATTCTCGCTTATAATTGCTTGAAATGAAAATATTTTTCGTCGTTACACAGAGCAACTGTTACGCTATAACGAGGAAATTAATATAAACCAATAAATTTGCAAAAATTTCTTCATTACACAAAGTTATCGTTAAAATATTTACAAATTGACTTTTTTAAAATGAATAAACAGTAATGACGTAAATATAATCTTGTTACTAACCATACAAGACTTAATTATCCTTTTTCTTTAAAACCAGCTCGATAATACGATAATCAACGACATTATCCTGCAGATTAACCCATTTTTAGGATTTTGAACATTCTTACACATTCTTATAACGTGTATTAATGTTCTCGTCATACTCGGCTAGACGATTATATCATTATGAGCTTTAATGCTTTTCTTTGTTATTTTTTATCAAACTTTTAGTACACATCAATTTTTTACCAAGTTTAATATATAATGTATAGGTGCTTATACTCATAGGCAACTTATGCAACATCTAGCTATAAGTTCATTGCTAATATTCGCGAGGCAAGATAGTTTCGCTATTAACTTCAGTCGGTTACTTTCTACGAGGAAGAAACAAAGTAAAACTTCTGATATTGGTAAATTTACATGAAAATCACCTCATTTTACTAGCTATATTCCTAGTATATTGCTAGATTAAGTACTACTTATAATAAAAAATAAATACGTATCTCTATAAATATAATAGTTTGATATCGAAATAATTTCGGTTTCGTGAATATGTTCATGCTTATGCTTATGCTCATGTTGTCGAGTTGGAGTTTTGATTGGATTTCGTGTTGATGAGACGATAACCGAAGTGTTTTAATATAATAATAGTGGTTGCGCGCCGAGTTTGGTGTTAATCTCGATTACCGTTGTGTTAATATATCAAGTCTAAGCAACGGAGCATTATTACACGCTCACAACGCGCGTGGAGAGAATGTTTGTGGAGTAAACTTTAATGCAATTTCTTCTATACCTAATTTTGCGGTTATTACTTAGGAAAAAATATATTATATTGGCTAATAATCCATCATCGCTATTTTTTTTTGGTTCAATGAGAATACAATGGGAGGAAAGAAAAAAAATCAATTTAAAATTGAATCTAGGGAATATTATTTGATAATGATGTTGTTTTATTATGTTTTGAGGTTTCAATGACATTTTTTCATTGACATAGATTAGATTGATGGGATAATAATTTGAAGAATTGAGATAAATTGACATATGTAATTTTTATGGCCAAAAACAGCAAAAAATTAATATTTTATTGATTTAACACCCTGTATATTAATTTTTTGCAACAAAAAGTAGTCTATATTCTTCTCCAAGGTCTAAACTATATCCACACCAAAATTTATCAAAATCCATTGAATAGTTTTTGCATAAAAGCGTCACAAACATACAAACATACACAAATTTGCTTTTATAACATCAATTAGAATGGAGAATACAATGTGAGGATAGAAAAAAAATCTATTTAAAATTGAATCTAGGGAATATTATTTGATAATAATGTAATTTTATTACGTTTTGAGGTTTCAATGACGTTTTTTCATTGACATAGAATATATTGATGGGATAATAATTTGAAGAATTGAGAAAAATTGACATATATAATTTTTATGGCCAAAAACAGAAAAATTCATTTTTCACTGATTTAACACTCTGTATATTAATTTTTTGCAACAAAAAGTAGTCTATATTCTTCCATACCAAAATTTATCAAAATCCATTGAATAGTTTTTGCATAAAAGCGTCACAAACATACAAACATACACAAATTCGCTTTTAGGTATAACATCAATTAGAATGGTTTTAACTTTCCATACGTCTCAATTAACTCCTACTTCATATATACTGATGAACTGATGATTATTATTCAAAACCACCGACGTATATTCCTAAATATCTATTCACAATAAACTGAATATTAATATCTTTCGAATGCGCAACAAATGCACACACGAAATTGACACACATGCCTAATGAAACAGCTAACCATCGCTTGAACGCATATAGGCAACCCAATATGCGATGCGTACCAATATTATACAAGTCGTAACCACATAGTAGCGCACAAGCGAGCAGTAAGCAGTAAAATAATAATATTCGTTGTAATGCTATGATATTATAGGAGTGTAGGGCGTAATGAAGTGTGCAGCGCGAAGTACTCGTAGTCAAGTATTGAAGTTTCCCGTACTGTGTGTGTACTATCAACATTCACGTCAAATTATTACTCTGTACTCGTACATATCAATATGCTTATGCATGCGTTCGTTTAATGTCTACTTCTCTGCGGGAGTGTAGAGTATCAATTGTTTACGGTGCTGTTATTGTGGCGGAGAAATTTTGTGCGGTGAATTATGACCGAAAATGAAATTGATTCCTAATTTGTTTCTCATTAGAGGTTAGGGAGTTGTTAGTGTAATATTAGGCTTGAAATGGAAAGCAAATAAATGAAAAAAAAAGTAAAAATATTGATAATTTTTGTATTTTTTGAGTTTAAAAAGCTTACAAATATTTATAATCCCTACTAATATTATAAATGCGAAAGTCCTGATGTTTGTTTCACTTTCACGCAAAAACTACTTAACCGATCATCATGAAAATTTGTACACATATTCTTAGTGGTCCCCGAATGGTTATAGGCTACTTTTTATTTAATAAAAATAATTATTTTTTATATAAAATAAAGAAATAGTTTAGCCAATAATACCTCTGCATCTGGCTATTTGACTACTTTAACGCCATCTAGCATTCCAACAATGAAGCTCAAACCTAAGTACTATAGTACCATCACACTGTATTATCACACTGTATTACCGACAGCTACGTCAACATCAAATCCAATTGACTACACTATGGAGACTGTACACTATACTTCCATAGACTATACTTTCAGCCATTTTAAACTTCCCGCCATTCTACTTCAATGTTACTTCTTCTGTGACTACAGACGCGGAAGCAACTTCATTATTTTAGATATTCGCGAGCGAAGCAGCGGGTTAAAGCTAGTTTCTATATAACGATGAAATTTGTATAATTTGGTTGGTTTATATTAATTTCTTCGTTATAGCGTAACAGTTCCTCTGTGTAACGACGAAAAATATTTTCATTTCTAGCAATTATGAGCTAGAATATTTTTATAAAGACATGACATCGATGGTAACATTTGAAATATTGTTGTAATTATGATCCCAACATCCCTACAAATTGCAATGCAAATTTCTATAACTTAAGCACGATTTTTCAGCTAATTTGTTGGGGTGCACGTTGCGTTACTAGAAAATCATTTAAACATAACACAAGTGAATACAACTGAGCGACGTGGAATTCATATTTCGACTTCAAGAAATATTTTCCGGCATTTTTACTAGAATAATTGAGTTTATAACCAGCTTACAAAAATTAAACAGAAGCAATTTTACGTAAAATCTCAATATTCGGTAATTTTTCGTTTCTTGATGTAATGACACGTCGTTATAAAGAGACTTTTCTCTTTTATATGAGTTTTAGAAGCTTTTACGAAAAAACATCTATTTATAACCTCAATTCACCCTTTTAGCACCATTAGTACGATTACCATCTTTGTGAATCTTAGACACAATATTCTTTTCATCTCTCGATGCTGCGTGCGCATTTACATTCACAAGATCACGTTCGTATCACACATGTGCGCTGTGCGCTGTGTCTACGTGTCTCTACGGGGTGCGATATAAATAGCCTTTGCAGGGGTCGTGATGATTTTAAGCGCGCTGGCAAACGCGAGTTTAACGGTCTCGCCTGCTCGCGACGCATTAACAGCCGAAATAAGAAAACCTTCGGGGAATCTTCTCGAATGTTTGTCTTCACCGGCGCCTTTGTTTTTCTTATTGTACGCAACATCCGATCGGCAT